TGAACAGACTATAACTTCTAAAAATATTGGTGGAAACGACCGGATAGGTCTTAAAATTAAACGACAACGGTCAAGTTCTCACAAAACGGACGTGCTTTAAATCATCGGAGCTCCCAAATCGTAAGGTGTCTTAATTTCTACTTTTTACTACGATTTCGGCACCAGAGAGTTATTGGAGACAGCCGCATTAAGTCAGAAAAAGGTCATGACAAGACAAGTTATAAGTAGATAGACCTGTGACGACAATAAATACCTCAATAAAACGACCATCTTTTATTGTTATCTCAGTGAATTGAATAAAAGTACCGAAGCCAACCAGCCAGTCTCGAGACGGGTCCCGATCGAAAAAGGACGGTTTTATTTGGCGTCTTCTGTTTATTGCGCCGGGGATGGTCAAAATCAGAGTCTAATAAAATTCTTACCGCTCCGAATTCTCGGAAAAGTGTCGTGGACTCGACATTTGGTTGAAGTAACTTTTCGCGATTTTTGTTTCTAGCCGCGTCTAGGAAAATAACAATAATAATAACAGCCTTTATTGAGAATTGAGGTACATAATATTTATAATACCAAAATCTCAGCTGACTAGTCAGCTACTCAAGATTAATCCAACACAATTAATCAATCTATTATACACCTTTTTGACAATACAATTTGTAATAAGAGTAAAGTAGTTAAGAAAAGTAAAATATAAACAAAAGAAAAAGAAAGTAAGTAATTATAGACATAATTCTATGATTAATTAAAATACGAAAAACCCAATCAGCTCTTTATTTATCGAATAACACGCCTTTAGTGTTCTTTCGAAACAGTTTTAAAGAGGATAAGGCAAAGAAATGTCTATGCTGATTTAAAGTTTTTGCCGCACTACAGATCTATGTTGACGCACAGTTAGGCGGATTCTCCCTAATATTTACATTGTGGATTTCATAGCGAAAAACTAGCTTATCTTTAAATTATGGATAGTTAGAAGTCTTTAAGATCTTGTATATTAAGACATCGAATAGGTACTCAAACGAATGGTCTATTCTCAACCACTGCAACAATTTAATTTTATGGGACACGTGGTCATATTTGCTTAAGCTATACACAAACTTACAACAGTTGTTTTGTATATTTTCAAGGCGTTGACGACCAAGGAGTGTTAAACATGGGTAAAACAATACGGCAGTATGACAATGCGGACATAATGACTCACAGAGTTTTTCTCTAACTTTAAAGTTCAATACATGGTTAATGGCATATGGAGTCTTAAGTAAAAGATAAGTTACAATTATCAACAATAATCATGCGGCAGAGCTAATCTATAAAGTCGATAATATTCATTGTCTTCCAAAACAACAATTTATTTTCGATTTATATGAATTTTTAATATTTCTAATGCCAAGATAATGTTTTTGGGGCTCGTTCTCACATATTTGAATGATAAGAAAACACAACTGAACAATCTTGAGCATGATTATAATAATAATTCATAATAATCGCGCATGATGACATCGGAAGAAATTACAAATAATTGTTTGTTTGGTTGTTCGCTCCATTTCGCTATAATTTTACTTGTGCGCCATTCCGGTTGTACTCGTTAATACCTACTTTACGTTGGATTCACTAAAGTAATAATTCTTCCCCAGGACAAAAACCGCACGGCTGGCTAAACACTAACAAAATTGCTAACAACATCTACATCTAGATGTTGGAATTGAATTGAAGCATCTATACCCTTGAATTACATCTAGAAATTTGAATGCACTTAAGACGCCTCTCAAACCGACAATTCCATCAGTAAGTAGTGTTTGTACCAATGCGAAATATAAAATGAAAGTGCCCAGGACTGAGACTCCTGTAACTTATTCCTAAGCGAAAGAGATGCGGATAGGAAGGGAAGCCGGCCGGCTATCGTTCGCCAACATTCGTTTCGTCGGTCGGGCATGTATAATTATATTCCACGTGTTAAAAACTTAGAAACAATGATGAAGAAAATCCCAACGTAACCAAAAATCGTTTTTTATTTTGGTTGACTATTATTTTTTAATTCGTTTTTGCACATTTAATTTATTTCTATTCTATTCTATCCTGAAACCTCTTAGGACATACAATTTTTTAAATTTTTTGTTTATAATCCCCAACTTAAATTACAGATGTATGCTGTTTTGAGACATTTACTGTATAAGGAGGAGAATCGACGGATCTCAAATCTAAAAATTGCAAAAAAATAATGACAGATAGAATTGTTCCATTTAATCTGTAAGAGAGGAGACATTCATTTAACTTTCAAATAAATCAGAGACAGAGAAAGTCCATTTGGAATCCACCCATCTTTAGAGTCAGCATGCAAAATAGTTATTGTTTTCCGGGGTATCATAAGTGTCGAACCAGGTTTCATCCAAGTAAATAATTGGCCTTTATTGTTCTCTGTAAATCCTATTTTTTTTCTAGATATTCCAGTCGCCATTTCCGAATTCTAAAAGATTCCATTAAAACTTGCCTTTTGTCAATTTTTTAAAATCTAAAACCCATGTGCTGAATACACTTACATAAGGTAGTTCTGCCTCATTTAACACTGATTTCATGTTTTTCAAGCCTCCTAATTAAGATATCTAATGTAGACACGCTTTGTTCCTCGTATAACTGGTAAATTTTACGCCGTATTATATCTTGATCACTTTCATCTACACTCGAGAAAATGTCAGCATCGCTTCTTTTTTTCCTCGCTGAAATGGGATTATTCACAATTTTCCATACAGTTGATGTTGGAATTTTCGTCAATGTGGCCGTTTCTTCTAAAGATGCTTGTTTGCAGGCACCGCGTTCAACGAGAGTCAATAAACATTGTTCATAATTTCCTTAGTCTCAATAGAATAGTGTTTTCTACATTTGGGCGGGAGCATCTCCTGAGATACACTAGACTCGCACATATTTTGCATAATTCACACACGATTCAACACACGCTGTATTACACACGAAATAAGAATGATTACTAATAAACTTAAACTAAGTAGTATACCAAACCAAAGAATATTAAACACAGGTAGGTATAAAATTATTTTCTATTACGGACCACAATTTTACCTGAATTTAAATTCTGAAACTTTAGGTAATAATCTTGTTGCATTGTATGTTATTGACCATTCTTAGATAATCCCATTCAAAAGCAATTGGTCACTTTCTTATATCTATGAACAGACCATACATATGCAATATCTGTTGTTGAAATCAAAGTAATTCAAATGACTCCACGTTGCCATTTTGACCCTCATTGGAATTCTGTAAATTGCTAAACGGCTGGTAATCATTATTATTATTATTATATCATTATTAGTATTATTATTAAGTATTTTTGGTCATATTTTTTATAAAAAATAAGTTATTTTTATTTCATTTTATTTGAATAATTCCAACATTAACCAAGATTTGGTTCAAGTTACGGATTTCAACCCATCGAACGATTTTTATGTATCTATTATATTACAATTCTTTTAGCTGTATTGATGGGAATGGAAATTTTTGCATGAATCAATAATGAATGACTTTTCAAAACAAATTGAAGTTTGTAGTACAAAAAACCTTTTTTCCCATTTTGCGTTTTATTTCTTTCTCCTACCCTTTGCTCTTAGACTAATTGTTTTGTATAGTAGGTGAATATTGAGTGAAGTAGAGGTTATAGTTATAAAGTTGTCATTTCATTGATATAAAATTTTTATTCGCATTCTTGCTATCACTATGATGTCTCTGGTGGGATTTACAAATTTATTTACAGATTGACAAATATTTTGGACAGTGTCTATATTCCATGAACTTCATAGGGATTAACGATGTGGGGCCAAAGGGCATATAGGCATTAATCTGCTTGTACCTATCAACTAGTCTGATCCGTGCATAATAGGATATTTCAGAGTACGGAATGCAAAATAATATTTCCAGAAATTACCATGTCAATTCTCCTAGATAATCGTATTTCAGGAGGATAAGGCTCCTGATATTAAGAAACGTTTACACATTTCCATTTTCTAAATCAAAACGTATCAAGATATGAAAGAATGAGTTATGCCTACAGGGAAGACAATGACGCTCGTAGATTAGGCGTTTGATTCCAGTAATAATATTAACTTAGTAATTACTCACACGCACGAACGATAAAATTTTTGGGTAACGTGCTCGTCCCCAGAATAAAAAGGGATTGCTGTAAGCCGCACAAAATCATTTACGATTCTGCTAGACGTAAACGCGGACGTCATCGCCATGAAATTGTACCGAAGTGATCTATTTATGGCGCTGTCGATGACGATTGTTTGAAAAGTTCATTATGCTTTTAAGCACTACAATGAGTTGTTTGAACTTGTAAAGTAAGTCGGATCGAGAACGGACATAGATAGTAGCAGGGCTGGTATAATAATAATCTAGAATTTTTGCTGCTGGCAGTTTTAGTTAAGCTCTGAAGAAGCCAGCAGGATGATTGGCGAAACCTCAGCAAGTTCGATTCATCTATAACCAACCCAGGAGGAATCCAGAAGATTTTTAAATACCATGTGTAGGCTGTATTTAGAAGAGGAGGAAACTCCAACGCAACACTAGGGAGCAGCTTATTGAGAGTAACTAGGAGCTCAATTTATTTAGTCTGAGAAACTCCCTATGAACAGTAACAGTAACAGTACAGGACTTTTCTAGGAGGAGAGGATGTGCTGAAATAATATATTGGAAGGCATGAATGCGGCACCTTGGTCCGTAGACAACAATGCGACAGTTTTATTTTTTATTTAATGGAAAGTGTTGACGTTTTTTCATAAATAATTGAACTGGAAAAAGATTTAGAGACAAAGACTAGAATACAAAATCAACACGACTTGTCTATTATGTTTAGTCAACATAAAGAAACTTGTTGTTTGAATGTTTTTCTGCTGTCAAGTGACAGTCCCCAGCTCATCATTACAGATTTAATAACTTGGACAGCTGCTCGACTGTGACTGGGCAGGTGCAATAAAAGTGGACAAAAATAATTCGCCGCAGTTAGTATTACTTTTTATTTCCAGTGGACTCGCTTTAAATTGCAATAAATGCAAAATAAGCCATGTTGACCTATATAAAATATACCTAAAGATTTCCGCTAAACTTCTTTTTCTCGCACGCACCTAAAAAAACAAACATATTACAACAATATTTTTGAAATTAGCTATGTAATGTTTTAATGTATTTATTTAATAAAAAGAAGATTATAAAATAAGGAACCTTTTTAAATTAGGCTTGAAGTTTTATTTCAAAATAAATTGAGACTAACTTTTTCTCGTCAATGTTTGCCTGGTGTGTTTGTTCCTTGAAATTCGCAAATATACTGCTAAACAATATTTCTTTTTTTGCTAACATCAGACAAAAATGGGCAGCAATCTAAGCAAAATTTAGGAAATCCAGTGAAGTGTGATACTTTGTAGATGGATTATGTATTATTTTCCAGGAAAACTGCCACCGCCATATCCAGAGTTTTCTCTATTTGTAAGGCAAGATTTTGCGACATGTAGGTACTTTTCTCAGTTTTCGTTTCACATATGCGTAGTAGTAATCAAAGGTTCCTTTTTTTTATAATAAACTAATTTTGTGAAACTTTTGACTCATGGCACTTTTTCATATACCTGCAGTGCGTTTTATCCCAGAGCGTGCCGGTGGTGCAGGGCAATTCGGACGAACACTCGCACAAGCATGTGTCAAAGTTCCATTTGTGCAACTTCGTCATGTTGATTTTTCGTAGACAGTGAGTATATTCTTTCTAGAATTTGATCGGATAAAGAATAATAAGCGTTTTTTTTTGGTACTTACGTTGTTTGCACATACGCACTTGCAATTCCTGTCGTCGAAAATCTGAACGGACGTGCACGGTTTTTTAGGTTCCTCGCAACCGCATCTACACTTTTTATCTTCGCGTACTAAAATCCTAGCGCACTTTATCCTTCTGTTGTCCAAAATCACCTGAACTGATAGGGAAATATTGATTGTTGCATCTGATATGCACACCTTCTTTCCACTGCACCACCCTGTACACTGCTTTGTGAGAATTTTGTTTGGTATTACCTGTTTATGACAACTACAATTATTACGATTTAGCCTATTCCACAGATGCTGCATTTTACAAGTTTTATAAAAAAAATTAGCTATGTAGATTATATATACATTATATTCTAATGGAATAATCAAAATATATTAAATCTAGGATACCCACATTTTGTGGATATGAAAATGTGTATTTACCAGAATACCAAAACCTTAGCGCGAATTATTAATTATTATTATTATTTATGTATTTTACTTTCACTGTTTAGACCTGTATTTATTTGCAGGGAAGACACAGATAAAGGAAGACACTGACCGTCAGACTATTGGATCGACATTCGTTATCTCATTGATAATTTTCTCTTACTTTTACTTCTTTATACCACACAGTAAATAAATAAATCAGAACCTTTTCTTTTTTCTTGGCCGATTCTCAGATTTTAAGCGTTTTTCAATATGAAATATTAGATATATTGTTTCTTTTCTTTTCTATGCTGCATTTATTTATTTTCTTTTTCTCTTTCATTTTTTTTTTATATTTTGTTATTGTTGTTAACTAAGCTTTGCGTATTATGCATTTGGATTCTTAAGATGGCACTGTCGTGGGTTTAACCTGTTTGTGTCCCAAAGAGCAAGTAAATAAATAAATAAATAAACAAAGTTACCTAACAAAATAATTATAAGTCTATAAAGACAAAAACAAGAATTGTTTGCTTGCCATTAAAAAAACATTTTTTTTTTCAGAATATTGTAAAGAGACTGGATTTGAGCGAGTACTCTCTAATATTAAATTAGTTCATGCAAAATATTATGATTATGAGGTTCCTAGGGTTACAGTTACAATAATATATCTCAAAAATACCAGTAACTGAAATGAAATGTAATATCTTTGAATGGTGTAACTATAACTGTCCTTACCTTAACGCTGATAAAACTTAAATCATATTTTAGTTAGTAGTTTTGGAAACTGCAAAACTTTTTGGTGAAATTTAGATCTTATTGATAAATTAAAATAGGATATTATGCGACAAGTTTGATAAACGCCATTTGATTCACCAGTATTTTGGCACGAGCGGAGCGCAGCGGGACTGTGCTTAATACAGGAATGACTTAAGAATTTTTTCAATGTATTGGATATTGTACTGTACTCCCTTTTCTAAAATACCCAAATTACCCCAATTATGCCCTGAAAGTGTGCGGAAAACCGATGTTAGTTTAGTTGCCTATGGCTTCGAGCCATTTCCGATTCGGTATACAAGGTGTCCAAAAAGTGTGTCAAAGTAATATATCTCGTTCATTGTTTGTTTTAGAAAAAAAATACTAAATACAAAAGTTATAGATGAGACGAAAAGAAACAATTTAAAATAATTTCAAATATACATGAAGGTTCATAAATATGAGGGAAATCAAACTTATATTTTTAAGTAGAACACCCTGTATATTATATTGATATTAATTACTCCTATTAATGCTCTATCATTTTTATTTTATTTTATATTTAAATTATATTTCCCTTTATATAAACTTAGTATTTTTTGAGGTATACACATTCTTACGAACAAAAGACTGAGAACAAAATAAATATTATCTGAACGTGAAAAGTCTATAGAGACGCATTAAGTATAATTCTTTCAGATAATAGCATTTGTTATATGTTAATACAAAATGTAATGCGAAACTAAAATTATGAACTGCGCAATTGTGGAAAAACAATTTGAACGGGGATAATATTAAAAATATAATGTTAATATTGATAATTGCTCCAGGAAAAACACTTAAAAACTAAGAACAAAACTGCAAAACAAAAAAGAACTGTTTAATTAATTTTCACATTACTTATTGCTCGAAATGTCTCTCACCCACTTCGATATACGCTCTAACACGGTCTTTAAACGATTGGGCAAAATTCGCTAGCATTTCATGATTACCACATTGAAAAACTTCTCCTATCATCTGTTTCATGTCCTCTTTTGCTGTGAAGCACCTGGTCTTCAACATATCCCCTCAAAAAATAGTCAATCTTTTTTAGATCAAGAGATCTAGGTGGCCATCTAATCGGATCATTTCTTACTATCCACCATTGAGGAAATAAATTATTTAAGTAATTCGTTACTTGAGGGGCATGGTGTGCAGGAACTTCATCATGAAGGAACCATGTTGTCTAATCCACTTCGTTTGGAATAGTCATCATAAAATGGGGTCTATTGTTAGCATAATAATGAAAGGTATGCCCATTTACACAACCGTTTTTATAAAATATAGATCAACCGTAAATAACACATCTTCGAAAAAATCATCTTGCTCAAAAATTATTTTTTGTTCCCATTCACAATATGTTGATCTAATTTGATCATTTTTATTGAGTTCTTAATGAAATTCTACATGATAAGGATGGATCTTATTTTTTCGCAAAATATTATTCACAGAACTCTTACAAATGATCTTGTAAAGTCTTGTTGAAGTCTTGGAACATTTGCCGTACACATGCAGGTGGTTTTTCTGTCACACTAACTAATGCTTTCGTTCTTTTCATCAGCAACACTTTCAGTTGGAGTGAAACGATTCATCAAATTCTTAAGAATTCTTTTAGAGGGATGCTTGTCATAGCTGACACATTCTTCTCGTTAGGTCACAGTAAGAAAATCAAGACCATATTTTCCGGAAAAATTTATGATTGAGTTTTAAGTTAAGCAATTAACTGAGAAATTAATTGAGAAAACTATAACCAAATTGACAGGTTTCAATTAATTATTTATTTACATGGTCAACTTACATTGGTGTAGTCAAATTTGTACTTAAAGACGCCATTTGAAAATAAAGAAAAGAAGGAAGGGACATATTTTTTTCACAAAATAAAAAATTTGTCTGTTTATTTTTATATATTTTCTTATGATTTGACAAAGTTTTTTCCGTAAAGATGTGTATATCTCAGAAAATACTAACCGCAGGTGTGATGAAAATGATGAATTAGGTAAAAGGAGTAAGTAATAGAGGAATAATATACAGGGGTTCCATTTTTTTTTCACGAAAATTAATATTTTCATTTTGACACACCCACTATAAATGGTGAGAAGTAACTTCAAGAATGTATAGAATAAAAGACTGTACTATTTCATAAAACTGTTATTGTAATAAAATTGGAAATGGTTTCAAAAATATTAAAAGGAGACCATATTTGATAAAAAAATCCCCATAAATCATAAAATATTAGGTATAAACCTACATTGAGTAATTGAGTATAAATGAGTGACACACTATTTGGAAACCTGTATTAGTAACGGGTTGGGAGAATTTTGACATTTGTCAATTCTGACGGTGATGTCACATGTTACTCAAAAACTAGGGGTTGTAAAAAAAGTACTTGAGTTCCTCATTGTTTCAGTTACATTAACTGAGTGATTACGCCCAAACCAGTGAGGAATATCCCGAAAATATTCGAAACCCTAGGTAATGAAACTGAAGTCGAAAAATGACATTGGGTATTTCAGAGAAGGGAGTAGAAAAACCAATTTAACTTGTTTAAAAATTCCATGGCTACAATTCCTAACAATAAAAATGACTGTCACGTTTGTCATGTTTAATAAACTAATAGCAATCATTTGAATAAACTGAAGGTAAAATGTCATTTGTTATTGTGTTTTTACTCACTTTTTTGTGAACCGTTGACTATAATCTAGTCAAAAGTTGGCATGTTACAGAGATAAACTTGTTTCAGAAAGCGACAACTTTACACACGACGGGGTTTTCTCGAATCTCTAACAGGACATGCCGCATGCGATATATGTCAGTGTGACACAAAAATTAGTGATTGGTCAAGATGGCGTCAACAACAACCTCTCGCAGGCGACATGCTCTGCTTGACACGAAAATGCTTTATAGTTTGAAAGTTTGAAAACTTTACAATTTGTTGAACACGCCATTGTTCTTCGTGATATTCTTTGAGCTTGTTAATCATTTACTTATTGATAATTAGTACCTATCTTTTTTCGACCCTACCTTTCCTTCAGTCGAAACCACATCCACAATCATCGGTCTTGGGGTGCATTTTATTTTCCTCCTTACTTCTCTTAATTGGGTACGAAATTCTTTTGATTTGCATTGAACTGAAAAAAAATGAACTGTACAAATCTTCCTAATTCTTTTTGGGACCAGTGCAACATGGAGTAAAAGAAAAAAACGTTTTAGGCAATATTCTTAAACGATTCTAGTTTGGGGGTTTTGGGGAAAATTTTCGTATAGCAATTTATTTGGTGGCGGAGTATAGTAGGTAGTGCAAAATTATATTACCATTAATACCTGCCACTGGATCCACCTCAAACGGCAATCGCATACTGACTTCTGAAACAGAAACTCTTTTATATTAAGCTAATAAGGAAAGCTTAGTTATTTTGGTAAACTTAACGATAGCTTTTGTTCCCCCTGCCGTCCTATAAAATATTGTCCATATACAAGGTGCCCCACCACATGACTGCCATAGCTTGGAAGTGTGTTGCACGGGTGCTTTCAAGTTAAAAATATCAAATAAACATATACCCGGAATGCTACTCAAACTGAGATAGAAGCATTGGAAATTTTAAAGAAACCCCTTTTTATTTTATAATTTTTTATGTATTTATATTTTATTTCATTGAATTAGTTGTTCAAAATATAAACCCAGTCGTGATCTAGTCTAGCTCTTCTTAGAATTGAAGTGGTGACTGCTAAGAGTCTGAAGATCAGCACGAATAGTTTCTGCGGCATCTAGAATTCTAGCTACTGGTTGTTCTCTGTTTTCAATACTTTCTTTTTGCATGAACTAAAGCTTTCAGTCTTCTCCATAAAAAGTAATCTAATCGAATATGGTGATGTGACCTTGCTGGCCAAGAAACTCTTCCAATCCTCCGATTTGTATAACTTTGATTAAGAAATCCTGTTACTTGTCAACCAAAGTGAGGAGGTGCGCCATCGTGCTCGTACTGAATCCACCTTGGTTGTCTTGCGTTAAGTAATATTGGAGGATCATTTTCAGTGAAACGTTCTTCAATTATAAGGGGACCAATGAGGTGGTCATTAATAAGGCCACACCAAATATTCACCGAAAATCTATCTTGAAAATTAAAAATTTTCAAGTACCCCATAATATGAATTTTTGTTTTTTTCGGGTGAAACAGCCTTTATCACTAAATAATATTATTCGAGAAATCCTTTAACATTAGGCAGGTTTTAAAGCTTTTACAGTTAAGATATGGTACGGATGTAAATCGAAATAGTGTTAAGTTCTCCATACTCTCATTCGGCCTACGTTAAGTCTATTCTTCGGACACTAGTAGAAGGTAGGAAGAAGAGCATCAATCGTATTGCCTCCTCTTGATCAAGTTCCTGTGAGTGAATATCGGCGTATTCTTTATTTGAAAAAGTAAATATTGTACCTTGAAAAGTATTTCCATTTTTGGCTTTTTTTAAATAATATTTAAAATTTCAAATGTTTGACAACACAACACACTTCCAAGCTATGGCATTCATGTCGTAGGACACCTGTATATATATGTTCCTATTATTAGGAATGAGAAACAAATTTCATAGCTTTGGTAAATATAGCTATAGACTTTTTGTAATGCGAATAGAAATTTAAATGTCTTCGCGAAATATGAAATAAAATAGTATACTATGCAACAAGTATAATAAAAGCTCTTTTAGTAACGAATTTGTTTCGGTACAAGTGCAGAGGCACATTTACAAGCGTATTTACGAGATACTGTATAGAAAACGAGCTTATTAACTAAATGTATAATATTAAATATATTCATTCAAAAAGTCTTGCTCTGCAGCAGTTGGCAATGAATTTTAAATTTGTTTTTAATTTAGTTTAATGTAAATTGTCTTATACCAGGGTAATCGTATTTTGTTCATTATTATGTTAGAATGTAACTTCTTGCTTTTCTTTTAATGAAATGTATTTATCCATTCACAAAAGTTAGGAAGTTTAATTAAACACAAATTTTACGTGGTACTGTGTCACTAATCGATACTGGCAACGGTTCCTCTCTGCTCTCGTGCATTTTCACGGGAACGTTGATCACCCCAGTCTTATATTCCAAATAGATGTTCCCACTGTTTTTGTGATGCTGCCGGTTCCTCTTGCCAGATTGACACTGTGACAACACACACTCCGCACAATCTTGCAAAAACATAATCCCAATTACAGCTTTTAGTAGCGCCGGTTTAGTTAGCATCGTGCCTGCGGTTTGTTCGAATTCCTTTGTGAGATAACAGGAATAATGAAATCCGCAAGTTACACGGGAACGTACTACAAGACCTACAAGACTGCAATCTGATTTAAGCCGATGAAAGTTAAGTTCGTATATTTTTGTTTAGGTTAGCTACCGTTTTTAGGAATCATTGGCGTAGCAGTCGGTACAATTGAGAACGGTGAAAATTGTTTTATTTCTTGCAAGTTCCAAACGCAACCCTTATGAAATCTATCCCAAAATATTTAGGGAATTATTGTATGTTAATATTTTGAAGGAAGGGAAAGATTTTAGATGAAGCACAGCTACAAGCTATCGATAGAAAGAAATAAATAAATCTACTTTATACGAGCAAGATTGATCTGTAGATGTTTTCAAAAAGTTTGCATTTTATAATAGATAGAGGAAAACATTAAGCTCACTAATTTCAAAGACAATGTAAAATATTATATAAGGTGCTGATTTCAAAGAGTCAAAAGAACTGGTTAGTGGGATCGGGATCGAAGTAGAAACTGTAGTAGAAGGCGTGGTCATAAAAATAATGGACGCGTATCAAGAAGTTCGGAACCACAGTAACCGCAGACAGGTGGACACTTCATATCCGAAGATTTGAATCGCAAAACTCATTTTTGGGAATGTTAAACTCAATAAAAGTCTAACCCGACCATGAAATTATGAACAACAATATTGGATCCTTGTCGCACAATCTGTGCGGACATTAAACGACAGGAAAGCTTATGATAAATTGCTGAAGCTTGTAAAAATGTAATTCAATGGTAGTGTATATATAAAGATTAGTGTTAGTACATAAGTATATTAGTTTATTTTTATTACACTATTTTGTTTTGTGTTGTTACTTAACAGATTTGCGATATCGGGGCTAGCTGTTGGTACTATTGAGAAATCACTCTTTTTTGTACTTACTCGTACTTTACTTATCAAGATCATAAATTATAGTGTAAACCAAGTTTGAAGGACATGTCTGAAGTACAACACAGTTACGATAGAGAGCTGTACTGTTAAGCACACGATGTAGAACAAAATAAACGGAATGGTCATGCTGACGTTGTGGTTACGCCACTGCGTATAAGTTAACATATACGCACTTCAAATTTAATTTGTATTTTTAAATCGGTTTTTTTCATAGATCGTAAACAGTTCAAAATGTGTTTGGCTTCCACCTCTGCCATTTTTAGTTAAACGGACTATAGAGCTACTTCAAATAAACTGAAATTTTCGTGTTAAAATGGAAAAGTTAATCATTCCCGCGGTGATTTACACGAAAAGATTGTTTTTTGTGGTTAATTTGAGAATTTTTGTTAATGATTCACAAGATTTTTTCTAGAAACTTTAACATTAGTTGGTTGCTTACCATAAAACTGATATAGTTTCGTTTGATTGCCCTTATGCCGTTTAAAAGGTGAAGCTGAGGTAGTCTGTATTCACAATTTAAAAAAAACTTATTAAGCCTTACTAAATGAAAAATACCGCAAAAGCCGATTTGTCAACTTTCGTGAGAAAGTTACATCATTATGTTTATATAGATACAATGATTTATTTTTCAAATTTATTTTTTAAACCATGGCTGCCAACATTTTTCTTTACATGTAAGGATTTTGATCTCTGAACAGACGGTGCTATAAAAATAAAAAACTTCACGTCCCTGGAAATCATTGAATGATGCGATTGGTGCCAATTTGTAGCGGTTGTCAAGGTCTCAATGTCATTATTGTCAATTTGACTTCTTTTTAATGAATCTTATAAGTAAATAGTAAAGATAATAATAAATAAGTGAAAAATAAATGCCATATTCTATGCATAGAATGCATAGGGAGGGTTTTTTATTAACCGCAGTGTAAATTGCGATAATAAATCTCAATTTATCATATGCGTCCCCTCAACTTTTTCAGGCAGTGCCCTCTACCAAACAACAGCAACATCGCACGCACCAATCGATGCACTTTCCGGCTACCATGATATGGATCTCGATTCCCAACTCCCTCACATATACCCGCACAATGCGCACAAGCGCACTATCGATCAATTCTATGATTCAAAGAACTTTGCGGATTTGTCTACTCGAAATGTAGTCATCAGTGAATTAAACGCATAAATATTCGCTCTAGATGTTAATCAGTCGCTGTATGAGTGCGAAGTTGTTATGAGATGAAGGATAATGGTATCGAGAAGAGACTAGATTATTCGCAAACTGGTAGCATGTATAAAAATTGAGAATGGCATATGTTAATAGCACCTACTTGAAGACCCCCACTGCATTGGAGCAACTGCTGGAAGAAATAAACTTCCAGAGGACGAAGGAAATGAGGCAATTACTAAAGGATGGTATGGTTATTATTATGAATTAGTAATAGTGCAGATTTAATTTAAAGTAATCATTTATCAACTATAGTTGTGTGGGTTTTTAGACATTCATTAAATGGTTTATTTCAGATTCTGGTTTTGTCATGCTTCAGGGGACGACGTATTGGACGGACCTTTTCGTACGGCACTTTTTGTTCCAGAATGAATCTACTATCGATTGCGACGATCTTCTCTTCTTCGTTAGGAAGAAACACGTCAAGGGCTCTCCTAGGTATCTGCCAAAGTTCGAGGTATGCTTTCAGTATGTTGTCTGTAGCATTTAATCCGAGCAAATCCTATCCAACCAAAAGATAACCTCGACTTTCAATTGCAGAATTAAAATCTTTGAAGAAAAGCGAAAAAACCTGGCTTTGGAGTTATGCTTTGATAAGAGGCTTTTACGGCATCGTAAAACAATAACAATTACCCAAAGGCAAACATTAAAATATCTATGACTTAGCGAAAGATTAAATCCTAATCTGCTCTTTACGTTGAAGGGCTTTTATGGCGGCTGTAAATTGTCCGCCATTTGTTTTAGGTCAACAAATATTTTTGTTTATATATTTCGGCATTTTAGATTCCGGCATTTCTAAAACCTCAAATAATTCCGAAAGCAATAGCTTTTTGTCTTTGAGGAGTTTACCTATTGTATTGTATTTATCAATTTTGGCCAAGAGGAGGTTAAATAACCAATTTCAGAAATAATGAACAAAACCCGTGGCTCCTTTTTAAAATAACCAAAGTAACTTTACAAACAAATTCATCAGTAAGCTTAGGGAATGTCAAATTAATACCGACATTTTTATACAACCTATGCGAAATGTATTAAATGTACTCTAAAGGAAAATTTAGCAAAATATTAATACAATTTTTTTAATACTAATTATATTCTGAAATATATTAATAATATCTGACCTGATCTGATTCTTCATTCTGTACGATCTGTTACAAGCTGTGAAAGACTAATCATGTCCAATTAATTAATTAGTTCAAACTGTAAAGACTTATTAATTTAAAACGAATACTATACTGTTAAGTTAGTTAATTGAAGTAATTAATTAAATTTTGTCCATTTTAGACTGAAGTAGATGTTTTCCGCAAAGATAGCAGAAAACTTCCCATAGGTGACCCGGACATTGACTGGGAAGAAACAGTCTATCTAAATTTGATTATTCATCAATTCGAATACACTCTGACCCTGGCGATATGTACGCGCACCAGTCCGAAGGAGTTGCAAGTATTAAAACGACATTCTCAGGTAATGAAATTTTGAAAAAAATAAAAACAGCAAACACTATTAAATTGCTTTTGCAGAAAGTATACGCATCTCCAAGCAGACGACGGATGGACACCAAGGGCGATGTGGAGGAGATGACTTATCCACATATCTGCTTCATGGTGGACAACTTCGACGAGGTCTTTCAAGACATTTTAGTCAGGGATGGTGAAATGGTGTGCGTGGAGTTGGTTGCGGCTGATAAGGTGGGGACCGTTCAAGGTGTGATTTTCTTGGGCTCGATCAGATACGATGCTTTAAAAAAAGTATATGACGCTAGGGTAAGTTAAATAATGGCAAGGTAAGAAATCATAATATTTCTCTTTTCCATTAGCAATCAAGTTTAGGCACAAAAATGGCACAAAGGATGACCTTTGGTCTTTTTGCAAACTCGACTGCGCAACGATGCGAGTTTGTGAGGATGAAAGGACCCCAGGGAAAAGGTCATGCGGAAATGGCGGTCACCAAGCCGAAAGGTTCAGGAGTGGAAACTCCTACGTCGGAGCCTGGTTTTTGCGCCACCGATATGTGGGATTCGGATTGGGAGGTAATACCATATAGTTCTTGATAATGCAGCGAAATCATGTTAACAATGAAAACATTCATTATTCAAGGACGACGCGGAAGACTTCTATATATACAGGTCACAAAGAAGACTTAGTGATCCCAGCGCCAACATAAATAACTTTGTTAGAGGGGGATGGAGAACAAAACTGGACGTGAAGGCAAGATCTGAAAGCGAAGGTCTCGATTGTTTAGATAACGGAGTAAGCGAAATTGAGGCTGGTGACCTAAGAGACGGTAAGTGTAAAGTGTAAAAATTCATGACGGTAGAAAAGTCGTTCCAGTAAAGTTGTCAATCCCGTAGGAATATTTCTTTAATAGGGATACCAGTTGGTTTGGTTTCTAAAAATCCAAAAGCAAATCACGAGTCCCAATCAATTATAGCGCGGTTATGTTCGAGACCCCAGAATTTGAAATGTAGTAATAAACTATCCTAGTTTAAGTTTCGTGTAATTTTCTGGATTGCTTATTCATTGACACATTGACAAAAAATTGCACTACTTAGTTGGTATACAGTTTGTTTTGGATGTAGAAGCAGGACTGTTCTACGTAAAAATTAGTACCTACATTATAACATCGACCCCAGTTTGATTGAACTTGTACATTTTAATAGTAGACCAGTTTGTATTAGAACAATTCCCCAGAAGAAACTCTTTTACCATCCATGACGTGATAAGTCACATATTAAAACCAAAAAGAGTTTGTTCTGTTTAGAAGCGAGGTCAAGAATCTCATTAACCTTTGCTTGTTGTAGGCCACAACGGTCCTGCTTCCACATCCAAATCCACTTGCTGCGGGTGCTTTAGAAGACGAAAACGGAACTCCATAATCCTGCTTGAATTATACAGCAGGCCACCATGCGTGAACCCCCAGAAATGCGCCCTAAAAGCCCCGCTGGGACCACCCGATAATAAATGTGATTGCACATCTCAAATAAACAACCTGCTTAATCAATCCGATTACGAAATCGGAAAGGAGAAGACGAAAAAAACGAAATCGAAGAAGAAAGTCAAGGAAGTCAAAGTGAATGTTAACAAATTCGCGACTGAATTTGAGTTTGCCGATGACGCAATCAGTCTGAATAGCGAGTCGATGGATGAAAGGCCTCCCAGCAGAGCTTCCATAAAGAGTAATACTTCATTGGAGAAAAGTACCATTGAGTGTCCATATGTGACGGTTAACGGGAAGGAGGAGCTGCCTTGTGTACATGAAATTAAGAAAGTTCGCATATCTAACAATATATCGCCTAAAAAAGAAGCAACTTTAAACACAAAGACTGACAAACAACAAATAGAGATTCGTGTAAATAGTTGTGTAAATAGAACGAATGATAATAGCGAGCAAGTGTTTAATAAAAACTTCGATGGCAACTACAATAAAGTATCTGTGAATAACGTGTATGGTTATTGCACTCTGCCGAAGAATGTAAAAAAAATTGCCACCACCGGCGATAAGATTCTTTTGTACAAAAATGTGATGCCACCAAAGAGGGTTACTCCCGATGGTACTAATATTTACTACTGGTGTGATATTAATAAAAAGGAAAGCAATGGTAAGCAATATACGCCGCTTTCACCTACACAATGGACTATAAGAACAATTTTATAAAACACAAGTAGTAAAACAAAGCCTTTTAGTTTTGTATCATAATTAGAAGATACCAAAGCATGCGTTCACTAACTCAAATATTCTTAAATACTTTAGATATCTGATCTTTATCGAAAAATGTTCTTGTGGTACAATTCCATTATGTCAAAAATTGATATGTACTGTATGTTATTTAAGAGCTCAGTTGCTCAGTACATAAATTGCTTGGTCGAGTACAAAACGCCCATACTCCATTGCTTATTAGCGCAAGCTGGTCCACCGCTAGCAATGCGCATCTTGTCTGGTAATGCTTGCATAATATAATTGGAAATTGAAAAATTATGCTCTAATTTGCTGTAAATGGTCTCTAAAATCATTGAAATCATCATTTGATGGTGCGCAAAATTCAAACATGTATTTACTAGTGTCCGATAATATCATGGCGTCAGTTGTTAGTTATTAGTTAGCGGCCTAGTAATAAAAAACGTATACTAGATATACTTTAAGCTTTAAACTTCCAAAAAAACATCCTGGAGCCACCTTGAAAGCAATTGTCAAAAGCGTTTGATTTCGAAGTGACAAGTGACATCACAAACACGAATATCTCTCTAACGTCCTTCAAAATTACGAGCATTGCGGTTGCGGTGATTGACGTAAAAACCCAGCAGACGTGAAAACTGTTTCATATATATTTTTTTCGCTATTTCAGAGCTAGGAGATGGTGCGTATAATCCGCTTTGGACGATGCGCGGGTTTACACAAACCTTCCATTTCTGGAAAGAGAATAAAAGGGCACAGTCGGTACCGTTAAATGCCTTTCTGACCTACGTGACCTTGCCTTGGTGGAGTATAGCAAAAGGTAGCTAAGGCGAATTAAATTCTATGAAAAGCGTAAGCAAATGGATATCTAATGCTTATGTTTCAGATATTCTGGACCATAGGGAAGGACCCATCCTTACATTTTAGGCCCAGATTAATTTATTTTAAGGCGACATCGGAACTGAAGTCTTGTACGGACTATTTTATACGGATTTACGTTTTTTGGAAGTTCTGTCGCATTGGTTGACTGTTGTTTTGTTGTTACCTATTGATCATAAATTGTGGAAGGGGAAATAATTAGTAACTCGAGCGTATTCTACCCATTTTAAAATATCGATTTGCTACCAAAGCGGTAATTTTTATTGTTCTCCGATATTTCATAGAAATTGATATTAAAAACGAAAATAAAGATGTGGTTAACTTTTCAAGCTTTTTTTTTTAATTGCGATTTCATTAATACTAACATCTCACAAGAACCCATTCAGCTATGCAGCTAGACAGTCGCTAGGCATTCTACTCTCAAAGATATTACGTTTTACTTATCCTCGATTTATGCGATACCTCATACAGCTAGATTGAGCCAGTCATTTCAACCCTTTCACAATACCAATGCCCATCTTTTTCATACTGACTACATATACAATACTGCTACATGGTATATACACAGTGCGTTTGCCGGAGATTTAACCGACATTTTCACTAAAATCTTTTCTATTTTTTGTATCTTTTTCATATGTAAGGTTTCGTTATTCTAATAAAGTCATTATCAGTCTCAAAAACCAACGAAATAATGCATTGTGAGCTGACATTGCCATAATTATTTGTATCCTGCACAATATATAGAACAGAGAAATGATTCATTATTTAATATGTACCTACAAGGATAATTTCTTAAATAAATCCACGGTTACTATAAAAATTTTATGCTTCTTTGCCCCAAATGGCTTCGTTACATATACGCATAATTATGAGGTATGAAATTAATTCAATAAAATTGGCGGACAAATTTACCCAGCTGATGTCTTTTTCAACTCATTTAATCCTAAATATTCCATCCCGTATACAGATAATAAATATCTTAAAAGGTCAATCCATGACCATTGCAGATAAACAAAAATATCGGCCTTAACTGGTTGCGTTAAATCTACTACAACTTGACGGTCTCATTAATTTCACATTGTAGTATTTAGTATTTATTCGAATTTTCGTGAGAAATGATACGATATACTTGGCTTTTACTTTTGTTTTGTGGTGCATGGGCCCAGTGTCCTAGAATACCTAGTATATATCATTCGCGCACCGACAAAATCCCGGGCGATAATGGTTATCAAATCAAGGTGAATGAAAATCCGGAAAAATATGTACCGGGGAAATTGTACACATGTAAGTGAATTCCTTTCGTTTAGATTGTTCGTGTCCCCCCACCTCTCGTAAACAGAAAATAATTAAAATAATAATAAGTGTTTAAGTTTAAAACAATCGCGCGATTAACGCTAACATTCTCATTCGGCAACCTCGCTACGCATCAACGTCGCACCCGCGCGCCAGCCTCCCCAGTCGCCGTCTTGCTATCATAAGGTGCAGAAGATATTTCAAAAACCTCTCGAATTAAGACGCAAGTTTGTTCGGTTTGTACAAGTGTGCAAATAAAATCGTTCAAAAAGAAAAGCAGTTCATTTTCATCGAAGGATTCTTCCAATTGCGTTCCCGCACGCACAATAAGCATTTTGATTATTTGGGGTGTCCCCAATATTCTTATATTTATCATTATTGGTACTATAAACAACTAAACAGAAACAGATAGCAGAAAGAAATGTTGACACAATTCTGTAGTGTACCATACGAAAAATCAATTGCTGTTCGGAATGAGAAAATTTTTGATTTGATGTTGACAGTAAACAAAAAAAAACATATCCACAAAACGTTTAAAACTACCCCTAATAAAACGTCCCGTGTGATCATTCTCATCAGTGTGTACATGATATAAACGTTTAAGAAAAACTTTAAACTTCAGTTTCAACCTGCCCTAAACAAGAGCAAAGTAAAATACTTCGCTTCAAGCTTATATGAATAACAAAGCTTGGTTTTGGATCAAAAACAACCCACGGATCCTTGGTGTATTCAACTCTTTCTACGAAAAAATCGTTAATACAATAAGCGTAAAGAATAGAATGCCTTTTCTTCGTAAAAGTTAAAACTTGGCATTTAGTCACAATTAAAAAGAGTTTTTTGTTCCTGTACCATTTTGCTAATACATCTTTGATTAAACCTATTTTACAAAATGTGTTAAAATTATCTGCGAAAATAAAATGATAAGGAACAGTAGACTCAGAAAAATCATCAATAGATGCAAATAACAGAGGCCTCAAATTTGACCCTTGGGGTGCGCCAGATGTTGAAATGTATGATTTTAATTCAAACCTATTATAAAAAAATACAGGTGAACGAACCTACTGACATCTTGTTGGAAAAGTCTGCAGGGATTGATCCATAGTAGAGAATACTAGGCAAAACAAAAACAGAATTCTACTACCTTGTGCAACATAAAATTCCTAAAAATTGAAATTTATACTAAAAGTCATCACATAAAAAGAAAAATATGTTTCGAATTGTTCCCTAAAATATAGTCGTCGGTTTTAGTATTTCTGATGGGAACAAAATCTTTCAATGGTCTTCAGCGTTTCACAAGATTCACTATAAGCGTAGAATCGACCCAAGATCCCGCAAATATTTCCCCACAAAATGTGGGCAGCTTCCAGCTACACGGCGATAACCTGACCACTTTTAATGAGGAATGCGTCAACACCATATCGGAAAAGAACTCTTATCCGAAAACGGAAGTCTTTTTCATGTGGTCAGCTCCACCGCCAGGATCCGGATGCGTCACTTTTAAGTAAGTGTTAATTACTAGCTGATGATTGGTTCAATAAATGTCGGTTGTAATAAACGCTTGCCTAGGGCTATGGTTTTAGAAGACGAACGTCACTGGTACGCCGACGACGGAAGTTTGAGCAAAACATTTTGTGAGCAGACGGATAAAGATATGAAGTATGACGAGAATGATTGTTGTGCTTGCGACGAAGCCAAATACAGTGTACGTACATGGGGGTGCGCAGAATGCTAGTAGTACTAGTTGCAGTCTACCGTGAAACTAACTCGACCTCCTTCGGATATTTCCGCGATTTTACCGCACGGGTTTGGGAGCAATCAAATGTTTTCGGAGTTATTTCCACACCTTGAATTTTGACGTTTGTCAATTCTGAAGGCCATGTCGGTGAATGTATTCGTGTTGTTTTGCGAAAATGTACCCAAAAACTAACGGTCATAGAAAAAGTATAGTATGAAACGCGTTCGGTAAACTTTCTTTTCTACTCCCGTCTGTAAAATACCTAATTACGCACCGATCTAGCGTGCGGAAAGCGTCGCTTTACCACGTCAGTTTCGTTTCCCACGAATCCGAGCCACTTCGGACATTTCCGGGATTTTACCGCACGGGTTTTGACGTTTGTCAATTCTGACGGTCATGTCAGTGAATGTATTCGTGTTGTTTTGCGAAAATGTACCCAAAAACTAAAGGTCGTAGAAAAATTATAGTATGCAACACGTTCGGTAAATTTTTTAACTCACTCGTTTATTAAACACTCGCTCCGCTCTTGTCAAATGCTGCTAAAATATCCAATTATCCTTTAGTCTAGAGTTTGGAAGTGATCGGCTGTTTTAGGTAGATTTTAGCCACAATCGCTTCTTCAATCAGTAGTTTATCGCCCAATCAATCTCGTGACTAAAATGGGGTTCATCAAACTCGTTGCATAGTATACAATTATTTATTTACATGCTTTACCAAAAAATTGCAATTGCCTGAGCGAAGAAGTCTATATAAACGCAAATAATTGAAGATATATTTGCTCAATTGTTCGAATATTTAAATCAAACTGCGGCTTTTCAGTTGACTTGAGGAAAAAATTCTCCAAATATACTGCCACTAAGCTTTTTTTATATATTCACCTCTTGTGAATAATGCACTTACTATCATACTCGTTAATTATTACTTAATTCTAGATGATATTTGAGGGGATCTGGTCCAAGGAAACTCATCCCAAGGACTTTCCGTTTTCTTTGTGGCTCACTCACTTCTCTGACGTCATAGGGGCTTCACATGAACGAAATTTTAGTTTTTGGGGTGAAGGACAAATAGCGTCGGAAGGTAATGGAGCGTACCCACGACAACTGTTGAGGTTGCCTTGAAATACAATTTTTCATAGGATTCCGCAGCTTGGCAGAATGGGGCTCCGTTAGACTGATGGAAACGGAATTGAGGGCCAAAGCGAAATATCTTAGAACAATAATAAAAGCGGCTGGGCTGTGGCATCCCAACGTTAATTCCAACACAACGGCCAGTATTAAAGTTGATAGAAGGCATCATCTAATTTCTTTAGCGTCAATGTTTGGTAGGAACGCGTACTTTAATTTAATACGGTATTTCTAAGTTCATAATGCAGGACCGACTCCAGATTGGGTGGTGGGGGTGAATGGTCTGAACCTTTGCTTGAAAAACTGTTCGTGGATTGAAAATATTGTGGTAGATTTGTTTCCGTACGATGCCGGGACTGATAGTGGAGTTACATACATGGTAAGTTTTTAGTTTACCATCTCTTATTTAATAATTGGGCGAAATAGAACCGGAAGTTAGAGGCAACACTACAAAATTTACAGAAAAGTGGGAATGAACAGGGCTGAGCAAATTGGGGTTGGGCGTTCGCAATCTTTAACTGCCAAAAAAATTAGGTCTCTCTATTATAACTTTTACGTAAAAAAGACATACTCGGTAGAAGAAATGTAAATTATTATATGGATTATATGCCTATTTCGAAAAATCCTTTATTGAAAAATAACATAAAAAATATTTACAAAATAAAAGATAAATAAAAAACATACTTTAACAAATACAAACAAAATATCTTTAACAGATTTCGCAAGTAATTTTAGAAATAAATACACGTGTCAAGGAACCCTATGGTTTGCGCGAAAACTAAAAATTTCACGAATTATAACTAGGAAAATTTGCATATTTAGCAATCATTCATCAAATTGGCATCTCAAATTGGATTATTTTTAGTACGTTGGAAAATTTTCTCTCGCGGATCTATTTTGCGCCTATAAATAGATTATCGCATTATCACACTTAAGGCGGAAATTTTCAAAAGTTTTTTTTTTCAACGAACACATAGACCAATTTGCTTGTGTAAGTCAGATTCAATTCTGTTTTCATCTTTATTTCTATATTTGCTTCAATTTATTTTGTTATATAAAGTTATAAAATCTCTATTCATTAGTCACCAAACGCTGAAACGAGTCCTCGAGAACGTATGTACAGAATTACTACCACCTATCCTGAAGATCCCAGAGCACCTTTTTATGACCCCAGCAAGAAAGAAATGACTCCCTTAGCCAAACTGTACTTAAAAAGGGAAAAACTCATTCCGAAAAATTGCGACGAAAATTTCTTAAACGCACAACTAGATGTCAGCGAGAATACGGAAGATACTACTAGAGGTATACTGTGTTTCAAAGTATATCGTCTCGGATTTTGACTGCAATTATAGAAATAACATGACGAGGGCAATCAAACATGTGACTAGTCCAATACCAAGACTGACTCTTGAGGTGTTTTAAAAATATAAAATTTAAATATTATATTTTGTTTCTTTAGGTATAATAAATAATATTAAAAACCTTTAAAATTAGTACCAACAGAAAATACGATGACATATACAAATTTATCAATAAATATCTAAATAATTACGTTTTTATTCAAAATCTAATTCTGTTTCACTCTCAATACAATGTAATAAAGTGCATTTGTAATTAAATTTTTACAATGCTATGAAGGAAGACGTAAAACACTTACAAAAGTTGAAATATTTTGTAACAGGATTCAAAATAAATATTATTTTGTAACAAATAAAATAACATAATAATTAATAATAAAAATTAAACTTGAAACCGGATTTCGAAAAGTTTTACACTTGTGTTTTTATGATTGTCTAAGCTAAAGTCCCTAATATTCTTCGACATCAGTTTGGAATAAACCCCTCTTCTCATCCAGCCTTAATTATGGTGATGCATTTTCCTTTATTTGACGGCCTTTGTCTGACATTTTTACTGGAATCAACTTATCCTTTAGATACTCTATCCTGTGTATCGTACCATCTCTCATCTACGTAAATTACACATCTGTTTTCGGATCAACACATTTTTATTTTCTGAGCAATTGAACAATCGGTCGGATTCTATTACCACCTGTTTTTTGTAAATTTTGCGATATTCTCATTTTACAAATAACTCTATGAAGGATTTCATGGCTAATAATTATATTCGTAGGTACTCTTTGGTTTTGATAAAAATTACCCTTGTTATCATAGCTTTATCACTGTTTTGCTGAAGGTGAGAATAAAAATTTATAAAAAATAAAAAAGCCAAGACGATATACTTTGAGACATACCTTACCAAATATTTTTTTGAAAGAATATAATACCGGCAGCCATTATGATCCATTTCAGCGGAATGTGCAGTTTCCGAATACTCCAATTGGAGCGACTGTTCAGTAACTTGTGGAAAGGGCCTAAGAATGAGAACCAGAGTTTACAAAATGCCACAAAAAGCGCAAATGTTTCAGTGCAACCGGCAGCTGGTTTCTAAAGAAATGTGCGTGGCTGCCGTTCCAGAATGTAAAGAAGGGTAAGACGCGTGTTTCTACGTTAAGATTGCATGATTGACGTGCTTGTGTTCATTAGAAATGAAGAAGAAGATTCAGTAGAAGAGCAACTTGGTGAAAACTTGGATGGGACGTCCGGAGTTTGCAGTACAAGTCCATGGGGTTCATGGTCGTCATGTTCTGTAACCTGCGGAATTGGCTTCAAAATGAAAACTCGGTTTTTTGTAGACAACATGGGAAGAAAAAAATGCCCGCATATTACCACTGGTAAACATGCAACTTGCGTAGCTCCCCAGAGGAAGCACACAAGTCAATCAAAAATCAAATAAATAATAATCCATTTATTCGCCCTACTTGTTGGCGGTGGGTTCTAGAATTTGGTTCCAGAGTATATATTTGGTTATTTAACCATTCTAAAAAGCCTCAAACGAATATTGTGTGCATCACTTTTAGGAGGATGTAAAAACCACGAAATCCTCAGTACGTTGGCATGGAGAATCGAAATGTCAATTCTCAAAACCTCAAATAGACATAGTATACACGTACTTTTGATTCTGTAAAATAAATAAAACTTTCCATTCCTCACTCTTTATTCAAAAAATAAATATTAGTGAGCTGTACAATGATTTTATGTATCTAGAAGGGTTTCGATATTAATAGCTATTAGTTGGACTCCTTTCCATGTAAAGTCATTGCATACTAAGATGGTTTTCTGTTAGTCGAAAAGGAAAAATGTATGGGTCCACCGTGCACATCTAAAGATTTAGAGGTCAAAGATCCAATGTGTCCCACGACTGATTGGAGCGACTGGAGTCCATGTAGCGCATCGTGCGGAAAGGGAGTGCGGTTCCGCACCAAGTTGTTAATGGTGGAACCGGCGCTGCAAGCCAAATGTCAATCCAGAGTGGAGCTTCTCCAACAAGCTCCGTGTATGGATACTCCCGATTGCACGTTTGATATGGCCACTGCGAAAGGTTTGTATGTGTTACCGCAACTAGCTGCGGCAATCATATTCCCTTTGTACCTAACTTAAACCCTTATCAAAATAACTGATTTTTAGAAATAAGTCATTGTACAGAATATTTTTGGTTTTTATATTCCCTTTCATTTCGTTATAAGCTGATTTACCGCTTGTGGTCGAATAATTAACGAAAAGATCAAAGTAAAACTTACCCCTGGCAGATAAACAGATAAACACGAACATATGCGTAGCTGCCTAGAAACTTTTTGAGTTTGTTTCAGTTGTTTTGATTGTAATGTCATGGATAGTCGGTCATTGTTTCTGTTGAGCTTACTACGCTTTATCACAGCAAACTTGACTAGCAGCGACACGCACTATGATTGCGTTAACGCAAATCATATAAACACTTACGATCAATTGTTCTCCAAAGCGAAATTCGTGCATATTAATTTGGTAAGCAGGAGTTCAGATCTATGGATACTGAATGATCTCGTCAATGCCTTTTTAAAAAAAATCGAAGTTCATCGCGACAGACCTGTAAGAGTGAGAAACTCTTTGCTCGACTGGACTAATTTAATGTCACAACCTCGACGAAAAGGCACCGAACCGAAAATATGTGTCCACACAATTAATGTACATCCTGTTCTTCAAAAAACAAAAACCGTTGATTGGGATAACAGCAAGTTCTTCGCAAACGGCGATGCGTCTATCGCCATATTGCACGTGTTCGAAAGTACAGACATTAATTATGAGGTAATAAGACGCTTGGAAATAAGGCCACAGACATTCTGGAACCGCAGAATACACCTGTTGGTGGTAATGAACGCGCTGGAACCGTTTCACAAGAACCTAATTAAGTTCCTAGCTACAATTTGGACAATTTTCCAGCCGCTGGCGTATTTGGTGCACGCCCCGTGGTCCAATTATTCGGAATATTTTTACCTTTACAACGGATTTACCAATTTCTCCAACTGCTGGGGAGCTGTCGAAGCCCAGAACATGAAAACTCCAATTGAACGGATCTTACTTACCAACGATGTGAACGATCTGCGTGGTTATCCGGTCCGGGTGGGATTTTTCCCTAGAAATTTTACGAGTATGGACAGAATCCCCAAAGTGCTGGAGTCGATCCCACTGTATCGAAGCGTACGAAAAGAAGTCGGCTTCATCGGAATAGATCCTATTATTTTCTTTCACCTATCGATCAGCATCAACTTTACTTTGAATGCAATAACTTCTCCGCGCGGAGAGGATTTCGGTATCCTGTTTCCTAATGGATCAGGTACCGGAGCAATTCGTCAAATCGTTAATAAAGAAATTGACATGTCCGGCAACGGACGATTTCACAGTTGGAACGACACTCTTCCATACGACAGTTCGTACAATTACAACTGCGGTAAAATTTGCCTAGTAGTACCAAAATCATCGACCAAAATACCCATTTGGCAAAAGATCTATAACTACCTTGGCGGCCAAGTGTGGTATTCGACACTGATTTTTGTTGTTCTTGGTATAATTTTTAACGCCTCTTCAAATGTAATATTGGGATCAGGAAATTTCGGTTGGTTAAAAGTTTTTAGTATTTTGGTATCCCAGTCCGCACCAGCGCACCAACAGAAGTTGTACAAAAAAATTTTTGTTATTAGTTGTATTATTTTCAATATCGTGATGAGCAGCATATTTTCGGCGATTTTATACAAGGCTTTTACCACACCGAAGTATTATTCAGACATAAATACCTTGAAGCAATTAGAAGACTCGGGGTTAATTATCCGCACCAAACTCGAAGATATTTTCGAATCTGCCCCGTTAAAAAAATTACATAAAAAAACTTACTACTACAGCCGAAGCGCAAACACTTCTTTACAAAATACAGCATATGGGAGAAAATCCGCTTCCGTTGAAAGATTGAAAGACGCGGAGATATTCGTGTCCGTCCGATTCCTGGACTTAAATGGCCGACCCCTGCTCCATATAGTCGAAGAACCTTTAAAAACTTACTGCTTATCGTTCATAGCACGGAAAGGTACGGCTTTCTTCCAAAAGATAAACCAAATGCTCGCCAGGTATAAAGAAACCGGCCTTTTGAGTAAATGGGAAAACGATGTCTACGATGCCGTCATTGTGACTCATCATTTAGAATCGAATAAGGCTTATCCTAATGAGAAACAAGCCTTTTCGTTAAAAACCGTAAAAATAGCATTTCGAATACTATTCGCTGGCTACGGTACGGCATGGATCGCTTTAATTTTCGAAATCATATCTGACAAATTTTCTCTTCTGTCTAAGTTTTTTCGATCGATATAACGTAATATTGCACCATATAGAGTACGATAAGTACTACTTTTGCACTGTATGTAGCTTCATTAAAGTCGAACTTAACTAGTAATTAATGTGTTTCATTTTAATAAAAAATTATATCGAGTAAATACATAAAAACTAAGCCGTGTTTCCATTCTTTGATTTCTTCCAGTCGTATGTATGCAAGACACCGACCAAGGACCATGCGGTGGCTATTACAACCGGTGGTACTTCGATTCGAGAAAACTCGTGTGCTTGCCGTTCATTTACGGCGGTTGCAAAGGCAACAAAAACAATTTCTTGACCCATCAAGAATGCACTGATACTTGTTCTGTTGTGAAGGGTATAATACAAGCTTATTGATTATGTACCTCATATTTTTAACGCGCCTAATTTTTAGAAGCCCTGTCCCAAAACACTTCAACTAGATTTCCAACCGAAGTACCGAGCCCTTATTTCATCCAAACAAATTTCCCTCAGTCAGAACCCATTGACTGTATGGTTACTCCGTGGAGTTCGTGGAGTTCATGTAGCGCTAGCTGTGGGCTGGGTTTTGAGCAAAGGGTAAGGATGGTAAAAAGACCTGCGCAGAACGGAGGTACTCCCTGCCCGACCAAATTGACGAAAAGGAGAAAATGCTGGGCTCCATCACCTTGTCATCAAATTAATTATTAGAATGACTTTTAATTAATATACTTACAACTTACTTGATATTAAATATAAATTAAATGATATTAAATATAAATAAAAAAAGTCGTTTAATACAATACGCCTTCGTACTTTTTTTAAGCAATCACTCCTGCAATTTGGCCCATAAACATAAAATTCTTCTGTACAATAAGCTAGATACGAAATATTTTGTCTATATGTTATTTCATTTTTTTTTCTATTTAATAAATAAAAACAACTATTTATTGGTACACAGCTGTCAATTTTGTCATTAAAGTTGATCGATTTAGACTTCTTACTGCAAATAAGAAAAATATATTTTTTTTACATTACATGAAATTCAAATATGTTTATTTTTGTCAAAAATGTTAATCTCTTTAATCAACTGGAAACCATCAAAAGTTCCACCAAGAACATGTTAAATGATGAATACGACTGATAATAAATTCTAATGATGTGGTGGCTTGTGTATTAATGGTTCGGATCGACGTTTGAAGTATTTTTACTAGTTTATTTTTCTTCCAAAATAGGGTTCTGAAAACTGTTTAGATTCAAGATTGAGTACAGATTATATTCGAATCAATCAAGCCCGTGGCTCGATCATTAACTCCCGATGACCTGTATATTCCTTTATAAATATCGTTTTATTATTGCTCGGCGCATCAGTTACCATGAATTTTATAAAGTTGTTCATCTCTTTAAACGTTGCTAGCTATGTTATTTTGGCCAAATTGTCTAACGTTACTTTCCGTCGAGCGTGCGACATGGATAAGAGCTTAAAGGCGTACGAAGCTATATTTTCTCAAGTTGTTAATATTACCGTAAATGTTATAGTGTTCAATAAACGGTCTCTGGTTAACGTCGCTGATATTTTAGACGACTTAGTATGGACGCTCCAAAAAAGAGGCCATCTTACTGTCAATATTAAGTACATATTACTTCGTGGTCGCTATAACGTAAGCAGAACAAAGAAAGTAAACTTGTCGATGTGTTACAACGATATAATCGTCGATAAACAAATAGCTAACTCCGACGGCAAAGTAAATGTTTTAAAGAATCCGAAGAATATCAAAATGCAGGAAATGATTTTGACCATATTCGAAAGTATTGAGGCAATCGGAAAAGTATTGAAATATTTCACTCCAGAGAAACAAACTAAGCTTCGGATGTTTCACCTGGCCATAATCAAAAACGTCAGCGACAATTTTTATTCCGACCTAATAAAATATTTAGGAGGAATATGGAAACTATTTGAGCATATGGCATACTTTATCCATTATCCCTGTTCCGCAATCCATTCGGAATATTTATACGTTTACAATGCTTTCGAGAAAGTAAATGATTGCTGGGGTGTGGTAAAAGCGTTTCACGTAGAAACACCCATCGGGCAAATCATATTGAGGGCCAATAATATGGGAAATGTTCTTGGCTATCCATTACGAGTCGATTTCTTTCCAAGAAATTTTTCGGCCCTCAACAAACCTCCCACATCATTGCGACGCATCAAAATCTATCAAAGTGTCTTCAAAACTATCGGATTCATTGGAATAGACCCCATAATTATCTACCACTTATCCAAACACTTGAATTTCACGATAAATGTAACAGCCAGTTGGGTTACGAATGATTTTGGTCAAATATCGTTGAATGGAACCTCTTCTGGTGCACTTAAAAGAATCATAGAAAGCGAAGTTGATATATCAGGTAATGGACGGTTTTACATTTGGAATGATTTGCTTTACGAAACCACGAGCCAGTATTTCTGCGACAAGCTTTGCGTAGTAGTACCTAAAGCACCAGAACAGGCCGCCTGGCTAAAGATCTACCGTTCTTACAGTCCGGAAGTGTGGTATCTGATGCTTGTGTTTATTTTTCTAAGTTTCACGTATAATGTGGCCTTCAATACCATCCACAGAGATCGAAACAGCGATTGGTTTGATATTTGGGCCGTTGTGATATCCCAGGCGAGTAAAGTTATTCTAAAGCCACCGCAATTAAATAAAATCTTTCTCATCGGCAGCTGTTTGATTTTCAATGTTATTATGAATAGCGTGTTGTCCGGATGTTTGTACAAAACACTCACGACTCCTAAATACCACTCCGACATCACTACTTTGAAAGAATTAGATGAATCAGGTTTGCCTATCAACACCAAACTGAAAGACGTGCTCAATATCCCCAAGTTGGAGAATCTATATAGAAAAGTGTCATACAATCGAAAGGACAAGTCATCTATGCAACGCACAGCTTATGATAGAGACGCTGCCTCTGTAGAGAAACTCAGAGATGCTGAGATTGCCACAACTGTCATTTACTTGGATAATAACAACCAACCGATGTTGCACATAGTAGACGAACATATCAAGTCTTATTGTCTGTCTTTTATAGTACGTAAAGGGTTACCGTTGTTGCCGAGGGTAAATGGCATGATCAAAAGATACACCGAGATGGGTTTGATAAACAAATGGGAAAAAGACGTTTACGACTCGATCATTCTTACCCGAGAATACAAACGGATGGGATGTATCACTAAAGAAAGGTCGTTCTCCCTAGATACTATGAGATTAGCACTTAAGGTGCTATGTGGAGGCTATAGCGTCGCGGTTTTTGTGTTTGTCATAGAGCGTTGGGTAGCCAGAAAAAAATCAATGTTATGCTCCGACCCCGTACGAAATGGCTTAAAATTACGTTAGTATACACCAGCCCTTATTAAATGAGTATTGTTGTAGGGCGATCATCAATGAGAATTGGTATACGTTATGCCTTAGTTTAAATTAAATCTAACCTAAAATTACATATTTTTCATGACTTTCAAAGCAAAAATTATTCTAATTTAAGGGTTATTATATAGTATATTATACGGAATGATTCCTTGGTTCATTTTAAGATAAAAAGTTGGTATAAACGTGGGTAAGACCTTCGTTGAAGATATAGAGCATTAAAATTGTATTTCCTCAATATTATATTTGAAGTAATGTTGATTGGATCCAAAAAGTTTGTAGTTGTAGTAATGAATTAAAAATAATAATACCCAAACAAATAATTGTTTTTTTTTCACATTCGTCGGACTATAATATTTTTAGGATTTTAGCTTTTTACAGTTATAAATAATAAAAAAATTACCGAAAGTGTTCCATAATATACTTTTTCTACGACCGTTAGTTTTTGGCCACATTTTCGCAAAATAACACGAATACACTCACTGACATGACTGTCAGAATTGACAAACGTCAAAATTCCAAGTATCCGAAAACATTCGATTGCTCCCAAACCCCTGCGGCAAAAACCCGGATATGTCCGAAGTGGCTCGTATTCGTGGAAAACGAAACTGACGTGGTAAAGTGACGCTTCCCGCATAATTAGGTATTTTACAGACGGGAGTAGAAAAAAAGTTTTCACAACTCTGTTGCTAATCCATTGACAACGAATATTACTATAAGAACCCCTACAATATGACACAAGAAACAATAATATCAGCAAACAAAATAATTTATTAATAAAAAAATGTTTATTACAAAAAATATTTTTTGGGAATAATATTGGAAAGTAGTTGGAGCAAATAATTTTAAAACTTCAGTAACATAAATTAAATAAATAAATGAAAATACTGGACCTGTACTTACTATAAAAATAATATATAACAGAAAATTTGTTACTTAAGTATATAAACTATTTCATTTCTAAAGTATTTCTAGATCACAGTGACGAATTTCCGGATACTTTTTCTGAAAAAAATGTATACATGTTTTCTTAACTTGCTAAGACCACAAAGACTTACCCTTAGCTTCATTTCTATTCTGTCTATTTCACCTCCCAATCCATCTACAATATTTTCACCATGCTTAAGCATAAACTCTTCTAGGGTGTCAATGTTATCTATCCTTTTTAAATCCTACGAAAAATTGAAGTTTTAAATTCACATCAACATTCAACTTTACAAGCCGCAGGGCCACAAAAGAACAACATTCCAATCTGGTCACATGACTACCTCATTGAATGATATTTAGGGCGACAATATGTATGGCAATGCGGGAGAATAACAGAACACATATAACGACAATTTCATAAAAAGTTACCTCTAACATTTCATTGAGATCTTGTTTATCCAAGTAGGATCGTGTTAATTCCCTCCCATCAAAATCAACCTCTGCTTTATACCTTACAAGGAAATTACCAATATCAATCCCTTTCACATCATGTATCGCTCGTATCATTATATCTCGTTCCAAATCGGCGTTGATATTTTCCAAGTTTTTCTCAGGAATTGATCTAAAGAAAACATATAGTGGACACTTTCGCGAATATTGGAAATTGGTTATTACGGTTACAGCAATTATGTCACCTATTTGGAACAACAAATTATATCATATTTTGCTACAAAATCAAATCATTTATACCAACATGAATGAAATTTCTACTGCTCCAGCCTTAGGCTTACCTCCCAACCAATGCAGCCACATTTGTATATATAATAAATGAAGCCACCATCCCCAAAATACCTCCTATAATAAGCGAACCAATTGCATCTGGTTCAGGAGTGTTCATTAATGAAGAAAGGCCCATACAAGATGCCGCGACAGCCACACCAACCACAGCAGCAAAGTCTTCGAGAAGCACCACATTCACACTTGGATCTTGCCCTCTGAAGACTAACAATTTTTGTAAGTCAATTTTAGTTCATTAACCTATAAGAACTTAGATTCACATACTCACTGTAGTCTTTCACACCTATCTTGGCCGCCTTTGCACCTTTCCTTATGGAGTTAAAAGCAACTAAAAATGTTGCACCCTCCGATATTATCGACCCGCCCAGTATCACATACGCCTTAAAATATATGTAATATATTGAATTTAAAACAATGAAAATGGAAAAATCCTACTTGCTTACCCAGAAAAAATCTTCTATAGGGTGAGGGTTCATTATACCGGAAATTCCATGATAAATGGAAAGTCCTGTACCAACACAAAATATGCCAACTCCAGATATTAGAGACGCCACATATTTCATATTTGTATATCCATAGGGATGATAAGAATCGGCCATCTACAATGAGCACCGCTAGAGTTAGGATTTATGCACTGTTTGAAATAATTGCAAAACAAAGCTAGATATATATATGCTCCTCCAACAGGATTGTGTCTCGTAAATTTTTCATAGCACCAGATAATGGTACAAAAATTTAAATTTTTATTTTCTAAAAACTCCAAATCATTACATCAAGCCAAATAAAAAAAAATGGAAGCATGAAATGCGATGAAAGATAAACAGCAAATGTTGGATCCCAAAAAGTATAATACAATAAACATAAGGAAACAAATTCCTTTGCTTACTTGAAGTATATTTATCTACTATTTATTGCATTCATGAAAACCTATGACTATATACAAAATTACCTGTATTGATTTATGAATTCCATAAGCCAATATCAATTGATTTATTGTATCAGCTAGCGAATGAATGCACTCGGCGAACATACTGTGCGATCCTGTGTATAGCCAGGCAAATAGTTTGAACAAGCAGTTGGTTGCATTTCTAAAAAGATATTAACGTGATTATCACATAGTGTCCTCTATAAATTGTCAATTACATAGCAACTGCTGTAAGTACTACTTTTCCTGAACGACCAGTTAAGCCAGCTTCTTCAATCTGAATTGTATCAGCGGTTTTTCCCAACTCTCTCCTGAAATCTCTTAATCTCTTCTTTAAAGTAAATATGTCTAGAACAGTGAAAATGAGCAATGAGCAGAACTTACGCACATTTGAAATTGACAGTTTTGTTTACAGAAAGATCCTTACAAAAGGAACTATATGAGAACGTTCATCTACACGCATTTACAAACATATAAACTTTAAGATGTATGCATCGTTCTGACACGCAAAACTGCGGACTTTGTCGATGTCTCTGCATGCACACTTAGTTTACAATAACGTCCGCCTATACGGGCTTTATCAAGACAAGTGTTTTATAAGGATGAAAGAAAATGGCTTTTCTTTAAATAATAATAATAAAAACTTTCCATTAATTTTTCAATATGATGGACTTGGCCCCATCTGGCGGTCAGTAGACGAACTAAATTGAAACAGTATTCTACTTTGAAATATGATTTAGCTATTCATCTAGAAAAAATTAATTCCATTTTTATTGGCCAAAATTGTTGTAATGCATTAAAAAACATGACTTCAATTTTTATATCCTATAGCACTCACTTTGCAAATGCTGTTTTCTCTCAATTTCTCTTTTCATTCGCTCTTTTTGTAAATTTTCTTTTGAACCCCATATTTCCAAAGCCTTTGCCTCAACATCTTTCCTCCAATACACCGTAATGGGGGGTTGAGCTTCATATGGCGATCTTCGTTTAGTTTTAGGCAAGTCCTCCAACTCGGAAGGCTTTAGCAAGAAGTCATACATAGCTCTCGTAGGAGTTATAAAATTTCTATCAAGAGACTGCACATTCGTATCGATTTTTTTGCGCCGCTTGGTCACTGGAGTACTTACTAAAATAAAATTTTTAATATAACATTTCAAATGTTTGCAAAACTGAACCTTTTGAATCATGGTTGTCTGATTTCTCAACATCACCAAGAATCTTTTCTTTTAATTTCTGTATTGGTTTAATAATTTTATCCCTTCCTAATTTTTGTTCTTTCTGTAGTTCCGATTTATCTTCCGACTTTGGGATGTCTTCACTAAGGGGCTTCAATTTAGGAGTCAGCACTCTCAAAACTGGAAGATCACTCCCCTCTTTTTTGGTAACCAATTTTTTATTTGTAGAAATTTCATTCAATGTATCAGAGGACCCAGTGGATTCTTTTGAAAGAAACCTCTTGCATGATTTTGAGTAGACTGTAAGTTTAAACTCTAGTCTATCTTTATTTTTCAAATAGTACCCTACATTACGCAGCCTAGCACCTTAAAATAGAACATCATGCATTTAGACAAATTTACGAGCATTTACTTCGTTAAATACAAACCTATATGGTAGTGTTTACGTTCAGAGGTGTGCATAAAGGCATATTTTGCGAAGGCAAAGCTGCGAGAAAGCATTTTTCTGGTATTTTCCAAAAGCACTACTTATACATCTCAACTGTATGCTAAAATTATTTAATATTTTTCATAATAAATATTCTGATACTGTGTGTCCTGATTATCAGATATGTATTAACCATTTAAAATAGTAAAGTTAACCTTATAGCTTTTAATGACAATAAATCTTGGAATTTCATGTCTGTCATGTCAGAAACAGTTCTTCATCCAAAAAACAAAATTGACATTTTATCATAGAACACAGAGAAAAAGCACGACAAACCTCCGTTTTACATTCAGTGTGCCTGACGTCAGAGCTTGAAAAATTACATATCAAAAGCACTAGTTTTGCTTTCGAATATAATTTTCAATTTGAGTTTTAATTTATTAACGCTTCGTTTAAGTTAAAACTCAATTGTTTTAATAAAAACTGAGTTTTTTCGCATGTGCGAAACTAATGATTGTGGGAGTTTTTAGATTTTGGTCTTCAAAAAATGCCAGATAAATGTTTAGTTGCAGAAAGGGCAAAGTAACTAAAATGTGTGTTAACTGTTTTGTGTGGCCTTCCTATAAAGTTAATAGAAAAATATTGTGCGAAAACTATTTAGTATTTAATATGGTGTTAAATATGGGTAGGTATGATACTATTTCATCTGCGAACAAGAACTTCGCTTCAAATTTTATTAGTAAATTTGGCAATTATGATGATAAATATTTATGACTGCTATAATACTTAGAGTCAATTATTTCAAACAAGGCCTTCCTCAATCAGGCCACTGTGGAGGCCAATTTTGTCTATAAGCGAAAACTCTTATGCATTTTAATATAGGCTACACTTAGCTTAGATCAAAATCAACAAACTTTTTTATGCAGGTAAAACGGAAAACTTTTTTTTTTTCAAAAACACTAAACAGAAAAAATGGTCCAGGCTAGTTCCTAGTTATTCATTATTGTTATCTTGTCCACAAGGAGTTGAATAGCTTGTAGTATAAGTATTTTTAGGAGAGCAGATTTTAGATGCAAACGGCGTAAGTAACAAAGTAGTATAAAAAGAATTTTAATTTTTAGCAGGGAAATTTACTTTTAGAAAATTGCAGATAGGAATGTTCAAAAAATTCGAGTTACACCAATAGAGACTCAAAACCAACAATGGGATGGTTTAGATTAAAGTTAACTTGGATAATTGCATAACAGATAATATAAAGACGATATATAGAAATTAGGCTCATGTCATTGATGTATACAATTAATTCATAATATCAAAACAGCTACGATCGCACATTGGAATGAGTGAGCCAACACCATTTTTCGTGGAAAAGTTTTATCTGACTTTGCTTTATATATAATACTTATTGGTAGTAAGATGGCAACTTCTGCGTAACAATTAGCGCTTGTTCTCTTCCACATGCGTTATCTGCAGTCGACTGCGATAACGCCAGACTTCGAATCAGGAAATTCGCTAACTTATCTGTGAACCCTGGTAAGTAGCGATTCGTTTGATGAGGTTCCTAATGTACCGACGTCAAAATTTCAATGACAAATTTCGAAATCGTAATGGATTGATATTAAGCGCTCCCACGACAGGTAGACCACTTTTCGTTTGGCTGCCGGTCGGGTACTGCTGCAGTACTTTTACTGCTTACCGCCGCCGTAGCCGTATACACCTGAGACGATCTGATCGATTTAAATTGTTGTATTGACGGGCGACTTTTACAATTCGTGTGTATGTGTTTTATAGTGTCAGTGGGTTCTTTGCGCGGCATCGTCAACTATCGGATGAGACTGTTTTATTTCCTTTTAATTCACGACGGTGTGCCTAATTGACCGATTTCTGATTCGGAGCAGCTAGGTTTGTTTTTGTTTTGACGCATTGTTTACACCGGTGATTTATTTGCTTTTGTTTACTTTTTTTCGTGCAAGGAATTTTCTACGTTTAAATCACGTTAAGTGTATATACTATTTTGATTCCATTTTTGTTTTATATAGAATTTCAGGTGGACCCAAAGGTTTCGCTGATCTTCGTGGATTATTTTTAAAGAAGCCGAAAATGACGCACTCCACAATAGTATCAAAATTAAAATAATAACAATTTAATATACCTACTTTTCAAACTGCAAACTTTAGCGTTGCTCACACTTATCTCTTAAATATTTCTGTTTATTCTAAAAATAATACCATTCTGTCTGAAAAACAAAACTGCATTAAATATGCTACCCTCGTAACAGGTATTTTAAATAATAGTTTTCTATTTCATGACTGTCTGTTAAGCGGATTCCTAGATCTTGAATTTTACTTCATTTGTTAAAAATTCTTAATCACTTCTTAAAGGATGTTTATCTAGCCCATAACAGCGACGAACTTGTCTGCCATTAATGCAATACAGACCGTACAACATTTTCGAGCCAGTAATAAAATATTTTATTGAAAATTTTCAGTCAAAACAGCTTGAGTAGAGAAAGAACAATTTGGAAACTTTAACAGGCTGTATGTCATTAATGAGCGAAACTTTGGCTCGATATCTTTAATTTTAGTTTAATCTTGGATTTCTTTTCGCCAATAAATTAGTGGAATTACATACAATAAATTATTTTTGCTAAAACTGAATGTTAATATTTAAGTTAGCCTTTTTTTCCTTTTTGGATTTATTAACATGAATTATGTTATTAAATCTAATCTTTATTTAATATTTCAATAAGAATAAAAATAAACTCACAGTGCCCAAAGAAAAAACAGTAAAGTAATCAAAATGTTCAGCTCCAACATGGTCATAAATTTAATAGTCGCCCATTTATGACTGCAGGAATGGCCAAGTTTAATTTCATAAACCGAACAAAAATATTTGTATTGTGATCAATATTTCGAAGTTTTTTTCATTTTAATTTTAATCCTTAAATGTGCTTACATTTTTAATTTTAAGTGTTAAGATTAGATAATAAGTAAAATTTTTTGCCGCATGATGGTAACAATTGGCAATTGATAGAACATGGCAATCTACCCTGATTCGCGTATATTTTCTGCAAATTTGCCTTTACCACAAATTTTAAATTTGGCTATCATAAATCGCCAGCAAATGCGGAATGAAGTGAAACAACTAAAATTTTAGACACTTGGTTTTGATTAGATTACTATCTATTGTCCTGAATATTTTATTCATTTTATTATCATGCTAAAGTTAAAATACGATATCAGTATTAATTTCCAAGTTCTCAAATCGTACACAAAATCTGCCACGTAATAGAACCAAAAGGCAGACATCAATTTGCAACTTACAAATTATAGAAGCATAATAATTGCAAAAAAATATATAAAATATGCAGCGTATTGGTGCTTCGTTCAAATGGTTACAAAAATACTCTGGACCGGATCAGCAACAGCAGAACCATATAGAGTGTTTAAAAAAAATCGGCAGCGTACTAGTGTAGATTCGTCATCTAAAAAAAAGAAAAAACTCATAAAAACATATGTCCGAAATGGCCTATGGTTGCTTCAAAAGTCTCTGTATTATCAGCATAGGCCTCGCTATATACTTATACATATAACAAAACGGATTAGAAAATAACACAGTTTTTGACAGTGATGGGCAAGCATCTTGAGGAAATAAATATCTTGTTGTCGAAATCAGAAGTTAGATCATGGTAAACTGTCAACATTTAGGTACCTTCTTCGTCACAATTTCAGCAAAGCAGTATTATTTTACTGCTTTGTGGAAGATACAGTAACGCAACGAGGCAGCGAATTTCATCATTCTTTGATTAGAATAATAAGATGAGTACCAGGATATCACATATTTAACCAAATAAAAGCTATTAATACACTAAAGATAACATTAGCAATGAAACAGTTAATTAGGAAAACTTTTGCTTATGTACTTCCCGGGAAAATTCAGGAACTGTGGCCTAAGGGACCTCACTGGACTGAATTATGACGGGAATAAAATGGTCTGGTAAATCAGAATGTAAGAAGGAAACTTAAGCAATGTTTTGAAAAATTATACAACCGTTGCATTAGCAAATTGTTATTATGCCCGCATAACACAACAATTAAAACCACATCCATGTACTTTCTCTTTGGAGACTAAATGTCATTTGGCGATAAGTATATTTATTCTTATTTATAACAGATTTCCTAGAGTAGTTGGTAATTTTATATTGTTTGCAATACAAACAGCAACCCGTAATAATTTTTGCCCCAGTCTGTTTATAGACAACTATTTTTTGAAATTTAACAAAAAAATCAAAATTTAAATTGAAGTAAATTTGAACGAGGTGGAATAGCAGACTATGGGCGACAATCCTTTTGGGAAATAGGAAATTGGATTAGCCGAAATGTACAACACTGATGCGATGTTGGCAAGTAAGATCAAGGTGAAGTGAGCATGAAGAATGACTTCTAAAACTAGCAACCGTTTCAATACAACCAGATCAATCGGACACGAGTAGAAGGTTATGGGTTACCGCGTTAAGGGCCTTATGGTTTGAGGTGCCATAGCAGATGGAAGCAGATGGACAGAAGTATGAACAACCAATTTTACTTTAATAACCTGCTACAGCCGTTCAAATTGGCCTACCATCAGGAACTGCAAGATCCAATTTTTCAACAAGATGCCGCTGAAGTTACTAGAAACTTCCTTCGACACTAGACTTACAGCGTATTAAACTTGTAAGATACATGATAGACAAAATGTTGAGAGTCTATACTACGTAAGACTGTCTTGGCAGAACCTATCACTGGCAGATATCGATCATGTGACTCGCAATTTTTATGAATTCCTTTCAAATAAATTTTTTTGAACATGCACTGGATTGTTATTCATATTTATCCTAAAAAGGTGTGCAATATATGAGAACCCAAAGCTATAAGAGATGACTTTCGCAAGAACCTTCATTGGAAATGTTATTAACGGTTTAATTTCCAACACAAATTGGTATCATTAAGAATAATAGCATTTTGGACATGCAAAAATCCCGACGTAAGGTCTAATTTACCTGTAAATGTCGAACGAATTAAACTGCACATTCCCAACGATTCACCGCCAATTTTTTACTGAAATGTATTATTAAGATATTGTTTTATAGAATGACAAATCTCTAGGTGACACCTTGTTTTGATTCAGAATCGAGAAATGTAAAACGCCTGGACCTGGACTTTTGGTGAGAAACATAAGGTCTTATTCGAGATGCGGTCTCTGTCAATTTTGTGCAAATTAAAATTTACTTTATTTATTCATTATAAATTGATTTATAAAACAAATAAATTTATTTGAGTTTTAAAAGATGAGACACATCCGGGTATTCGCGATTATCCAAAACTAGCAACAGGTTAGATTTCATAGTTATTTAATTTATTCGGTGTTGTTTGTTTGCCGAGTCATGGACATTTCTGATAGTTATTAGGTGTGACGAATTTGCTGTAAAAAATACCTGGGCTTTACCATTAGTAAATTTTAGAAATTTTTGACATTATATACTACAAATGCTACAAATTCGTTGCATCCTGTGTTAGTAACGTTAGGAGTGGAATTTTTAATGTAATGACGCATTTGTGATTTATTCTCAAATATAATGTCGTTTTCTAAATGATATGTCGTAAAATTGTTCTGAATTTAATATCTGTTATATTAATTTTACAGAATTGAACCATGACGGAGAAGAAAGAGAAATATCCATCGACGTTTACTATAGAGAATTTCAGTTCCACGTAAGTCTTTTTTGTAATGCCTTCCTCACATTTAGCTTGTGCATTTTTATACCTGACCTAATTTTGCAGTAATAATTATGGATAACAAATTACTGGTTTGCGAAAAACACTGGCGATATAGCTATCCTGTAACCTTAGTATATTTTTATTAGAAATTCCTTGGGCAAATTTTCCATAATTAACAATAGGTACAGTATAGTTGTGAATACGAATACAATTAACGAACGGGAACGATTCTATTATATTAAAATAGGGTACACCTATCGAGATAAAATAAAATTAAAAACACATGTTTACTTTTAGAACATTTATTTAAAAGTAAATATGTAACAAAACCAATTTAAATAAAACAGTATTCTAAGAAAATATATTTTATAATCCCATGTATTTGGCCATCTCTCCTACATAACGTGGGTGAGTCGCCGCATAGTACATGGGAGAGATGGCTTACGAAAAATAACATTACATCTTTCTTCTAACTTGATCGGCTTTTAATAAAAGCCTTCCACATCGATTGCAAGTGGTTTTGTATATTGAGCAAGTCTCGTGTAGCCAATATCCACAGCGAACGCATTGAATCCAATCAGCACGTGATTTTGTTAAACAGTATTTTTCAAGACACTCCACACATTCGTTTTCGTCAATATCACTGCAGTCATTGGTTGAAGAACAAATTGGCATTTCTTCCTCAGACTCAGAAGACGATGATAAATCTTTTTTTTGTTTAAGTTTTATTTTTTTAGCTAAAGGCTTAACTTTTAGCTTTTTGTCCTTTTTGGTTTTAGTTTTGTTCCCTTTTTTGTGTTCAATATAACTGGGGCTTGTTAGATGTGCAGCCGACTGTTTTCTGCGCTTTGTAGTGTTAGAAAGAATAGGAATGGGCGATATTTGTTGCAACATTTTGCCAGGAGTGATATCAGTGCTAGCCGAAGTAGAAGGTTGAGGTTGAGCTTCTTGCGATTTAACGTTGATTTCTAATGATGGATTCGGCGCAGCGTTTTCTTTTTCGGTATTGCAGGTTTTAGTTGCAGTGTCTTCAACATTGTGTGCATGAGCTACGTGCAGGTCTGATACGCTGAAAGCGTGGTCCGGAACTGACTCTGGATTAAGTGGAAATGCTCCAGTAGCACGAAAACCATTAATAGCCGTTCCAGCTGTAGCTGCGCGAGACCAAGCACTACTTAGCAATGTGCCAAATTGCATACGAGTAATTCGTCTGCCTTGATGTGTTTTAATCCACTGGTCGCAAGCCTGATAAAAAAACGTTTTCAACGGTTTAAAAAAACTACGATCGAGTGGCTGTAAATAGTGTGTGGTGTGGCTGGGCAAACATACCAAAGAAATATCATTTTCTGTCGCAAATTCGAGGCAATCTAGACTCATATGCGATCCATGTCCATCAAGAATTAGAACAGTCTTCCCTGGTGGCTTGCGAGGGGCAAAATGATTTTTCAACCAGTCAAAAAATAGCTCATTATTAACATAAGCAGACTTGCGGTTCATAACAACAACCGAACCAGGTGGCATGCCGTCTTCAAATTCCTTTTTTTTATTTACCCCTTTAAATATGCAGTAGGGAGGTAAGAAATTTCCTTCAGAGTTACAGCAAGCTACAACGGTGATTGTCTCCCCTTTCTCCCCAGACGTTACTGTGTGAACTTCTTTGCTACCTTTTGCTGCGATAACTTTACTTGGCACATTATTTAACTGAAGGCCAGACTCGTCAACATTAAACACATGACCTGGTTTATCAAAGACATCGTTAGCTTCATAAATGCTTTCTAAAAGTTTAAAATATTCTTCAACTTCTTTTCTATTCATACCCTCCGCCCTTGCAGTTGATAGTCCCTCTGCCTTTCTTAAACTCAAATCACGATTCCTTTCCATGAACGATCGGTACCAGTGATCTCCAGCTTCTTCTTTTTCAGTGTTAAATTTGTGTTTTAACCCCAAACGTTGAGCCAAGGTATAGGCAATTTGTTTTACGGTTCTTACAGTGGGAGGAAAGCCTGCTTTCTGAAGAGCTTTAATATGCCCTACTAGCTTTTTTTCGGATTCTTGGCCAAGAGATGACGAAGGCCCTTGTACACCCTTTTCAAAATTATTGTTTTTTAACCTTCTTCTTAGCGTTCGCTCTGGCACGTTGCATATTCTACTAGCCTCTCGTACTGGAATATTATCCTGTTGTACTAAATTTATGGCTGTAACCAAATTTTCTTGAGTCCATCTTCCTCTATTAGATTTTCGTTTATATTTGCGAGGCATATCCAACTAAAATAAAACATCGAATTAATGCGTCATCTCTACCACAAACTTCTGCTGCGTCTATCCCAAATGTATGGGAGAGATGCCGCAGCACATTTTTTGTGACACTTATGATCCACGAAATTAAAACCCGGTGGTAACATAACCTTACTTATCCTAAATCTCCTATAAGTTAATTGCAAACCAAATTTTATTCGTTTAGAGGTATAATTTTAACTTACAAGAAACACTGAATAAATTTTGTAACTTACCTGAACGTTATTTTAACAAACACACGAAATATTTCTTGAGAAAATCGTTTATTTTCAACCGGCGTAATGGAGTTCTCAAGGTTAGCCATCAACTAATTGTAAGGAAACACAAGCGCCTTTTTAAAAAGTCTCAGTGTTGCCAAACGTACACCGCGGCATCTGTCCCACTGCGGCATCTCACCCACATTTACCCTAATCAATTAAGTGGATCAATAATTATGAATATGAATACGACAATCTAAAATATGCAATTGTTTATATATATATATATATATATATATATATATATATATATATATATATATACAATCTTTTATATCAAAGCGTGTGATACATCAAAGGAATACTTTTAGTTTGTTTGGTTTAATTGGCTGAAAATACAATAAAGTTTCTTTTGATCAAATTTTAAATGAAAAGTTTATTCAAAACATACAATGGCAACTAATTTCGTTTCATAACATATTGTCCAACAAAAATTAATTAACTGGAATTGTTGTTCCAGACTTGTAATAAAATAGTGTGGATCTATTGCCGATAACTAAAAATTAATAACCTAATGTTAGCTCGTATCACATCAAAGCTTCCGAACGCAGCTTTCGATAACCAAAACTAACATTTACCGATAAAACTAATTCCCTATATAAAAATCGGATTAATCTAATCCAGATCCAAGATTAAATTGCAATTTTGCGTAGCTACGTAGTGATTTTTTCAATCGGAAAAGTAGAGAGAAGATTGGAAGTGATCGTAATTTACTGCTTGTTTTTTTATTGACCTTCATATAAAAGACTTGAAAACTGAACGCGTTTTCTAGGAATTTATTATACTAAGGCTCAAAATAACAGCAGGAATCAGGACACAGATTAATCTTTAATTTCACTTTGTGTTCAGTTATGGAAAGAGAAGTATGGTAAAGCGACTCTTATTGTCTTGCTTATGTGATGTGACCCTGGTATCCACATTTTTTGACAGACTTCTACTAAAAGTTTAAATCGTGTTCGGAATTAGTTAGTTACCACAACAAAAAGTCGCCTGATGATTGGCTTTTAATGACCGTACAGTAGTAAATAAATATTTATTGCCTATATTAAAGATAGGCACCTGAACATGAATCCATAAGTATATTTCCTCTTTTCTTTAAAATGCAGTCGAATGAATTGAGGCTTAAAGTAGCGTCCTTCTGTTCCAGAGCGACTCTCGCCAACAATGATCAAATCAAAATTCCTATCGGCAGTAGCGATAAATTGGGCGAAAAAGAATATAATCCGTATGAACATAGAGTCATCGAACATCCCAATACGTAAGTTTTTGATTTTTATTTTATATTTTAAGCTTGCGTTCTTTTCTAGAAGTTTCACGTGCGATATGTTGTTGTAGTTTCTTCGGGGCAGTGGTACATCTGTTGAAAAGTTCATTAGGCACCGGAATATTAGCTATTCCTAGAGCGTTTAAAAGTGCCGGATTAATCGTTGGCCTGTTCGGAACTATATTTATAGGAGTCATGTGTACACACACGATACATATATTGGTAAGCGAGCAACAAAAATCAAAATATGGGTACTATACAATGTACCATTTATCGAAATCTAATTAAAATTTTAAAGTAAAATCAGCCAAGACATTTTAATCAAGGAATGCAAGGTCTCCCCACCAGCTTTTGTTTTGTACCTTTCAATAAAATCTGTTTTTCTACTCCCGTCTGTAAAATACCTAATTACTCACCGATTAGCTACGCGGGAAGCGTCGCTTTACCTCGTCGGTTTCGTTTTCCATAAATGCGAGCCACTTCGGTCATTTCCGGGATTTTACCGCACGGGTTTGGGAGCAATCGGATGTTTTCGGAGATATTTCCACGCTTTGAATTTTAACATTTGTCAATTCTGTCGGTGATGTCAGTGAATGTATTCGTGTTGTTTTGCGAAAATGTACCCAAAAACTAACGGTCGCAGAAAAAGTACAGTATGCAACACGTTCGGTAAACTTTTTAACTAACTCGTTTATTAAAAACTCTCTCCGCTCGTGTCAAATAAATTCGTGAGTCAAATGCCGTTTACCGCACTTGTTACATAATATACTATAGTTGACAGTATTAACTTTTTTTTTGCTCTACTTATTCTGGGATATTTCCACAGTAATTTCACCCGTTTGTAATAGAAGCAGGAAATCATTTTTTTAAAATTCTGATTTTTACTGGTTTTTGTGTTATTTCCTGTTTTTTTTTAATAAGATATATTGGCAGAAAAAATTCGGTATCGTTATGTGGAAAAAAATAATACTAAAAATGAGCGTAATTTCGTATGTTGGAAATTATTGCATTTAATTTTGAAAATAATTTTTTAGATCGGCAAATACAAAAAAATCCTATATTATTAGTCACCTTCTTGTTCTTCATTTTTTTCTCGACCCAATGGTTCAACAGGTTTGCCGCTTAATATGAGTGTATGTCGAAAACTTCATAATAATTATAACCATGTTTCTCAATACATTATGCATTGGGTTAATAAGTACCTTGCGACGCTTGATTATTATTGCAAAACCTCGTAGGCAGAGTTTTTGTGCCCCAAATTTACATCATTCCAAATTGTCTCCTAATGGGCCACATATTACCTACTTTCGCGACAGTTCTCATGAGACGTATGTACGAAAAGCATTACCTACATGGCGACCTTGGAAAAGAAGGATTAATTACCTTTATATTTACGTTTTAAAAATATGAATAGCCTAGGGTTCACTGTCCATATCCGCAATCCTCAGGATGTCGACATTGAATTTGTTTAATAACAACGTCGTATAGCAAACTACATACAAAGAATCGTAGCAGAATATTTCCTCGAAATGAGTCCCTATACGAATTGTTTCTCTCTTTTTAGTTTGAAGAGCTTTGTTTTCATTTGGCATTCTTTTTTATCTTAATTTATGTTAAGATAAGCTGCCTACGGAACTATTAAAACCAAGGCAAAATATTTTGTAGTTTTTGTTTGATATGGTGATTTGGAAATTAACTTACACCGGTACAATATTCAAGTTGTGTGGCATATTAAGGAACATTTTAAATAAAGGGTTTTTATTCTTTATTCAACCTACGAGGTTAGCGCCAAAATTTCCCTGCCTGACATAAGATGCAGCTTCAATATCTCGATAAAAATAACGTAAATTGGGTATAGAGCAGTCATAAAGTTTTTGACAAAAGAAGGGTTAGCACCTAAAATTGTTAAAGAAAGGGTGGGTGGTGTGTATGGGCAAAGTTCTCCTTCGTATTTTGTAGTGAAAGAATGGGCAAAACGTTTTCGAATGAGGCAGGAGTCCCTTGAAGATGATTCAAGAACTGGTCGACCAGTGGAGGTCCTAATGGAAGATATTGTTGCGATTGTGGAAGAGGTGGTATTGAGTGATCGACGTTTAAAGGTCAAGGAAATCTCAGAAATTACTAAGCTGAGTTCCTAAAAACCTTTCGGCTTTTCAAAAACAACGCCGTGTCGAGTGTGCGCGGTCTTTTTTGGAACTCTGTGGGTCGGAACCGAAGCCTGTGATAGAAACTATTGTGAGGGGGATGAAACTATGGTTCTCTATTATGACCCTCTATCGAAAAAAGAATCAATGGAGTGGCATCGTAAGGGTGAAGCACCTCCAAGAAAATTCAAGAGTCTGCCAGTCAACAAAAAAGGTGATGGCCACGATCTTTTGGGATTGTGAAGGAATTCTTTTGATAGATTTTGAAGAAACTAATACTACTGTCAATGCTAAATATTACGCAACATTATGACATAAATTGTGATCCTGCGTACGTGTAAAATGTTGAGGAAAACTGACCAGAGGCGTGCGTCTTTTGCACGATAATGCACTTGTCCATACTGCTGGTGTTGCACAAGCTGCCATTTTAGAGTGCGGGTTTCAACAGATAGACCATCCAGTCTATAGTCCAGATATGGCCTCCAGCGACTATTATTTGTTTGGATATTTGAAAAAGGACTTACGTGGACGACGGTTTGACGACCAAGTTGAAAAGAGGCTGTTTTAGCTCATTTTGCAGACAAACCAAAAGAATATTTTTTTAAAGGGATTGAGTTATTAGTAAAGAAATGTATAACTGTATTGAAGTTAAGGGGGATTATATTGAAAAATAATAAAAAATTGTTACTCTACTCTCGTATGTAATTCTAAAAAGTAACTTCAGGTCATGTGGTATGTGTTTAATATCGGCGGTAGTACATTGGTTTTCTACCTGAAGCTTATATTTCAGATATCTTTATCGCAATATTTTATTTGAAAATAGTTTTGGGAACATATTTGCGTGCTTTCGTTTCGCTCTGACTCGGTATTGCTTTTCACATCGGAAAATGTTCTGGGAAATGGATATAAATTTAAAATCACAGTTATTCGCCATTCAGGTTGGGTATTTTATTTTGGGGATCCCAGGCAGCCAATGTTTTATTGATCATGTTAACTAACCGACAATTTCTTAGAAAAATTCTATTTGAGTATTCGTTTCAGGCACGTTAACGTAAATCACGTGTTTTATTTCGCAAACTTAAGTGGAGGGATTCCCTAACCTATAGCATTGTACATTGTATCTTTTGGTTGACTTGTTTTTAATGCTAATTTGTATTTGGTGTAGGTAAAGGCGTCACAGAAAGTCTGTACCAGGGCGAAACTACCCAGTTTGGGATTTGCTGAGACTGCGGAGGAGGTGTGCAGACAGGGGCCAGCGCCCTTACGGGGATGGGCGACATTCGCCAAGTAGGTTTTCATTGTTGAAGAATAATAGTTTCAAAACAAATTTTGCATAGTAAGGTGTACGGAGAGGGGTAGGTGGGGTGATGACGATGTATGAGATGCGATCAAAAATTGGTTAGGTTAGGTTAGGTTTGAATTAACTAAATGCGGGAGAACCTTTTAGACAAATTTGATGAGTGAAAATATATCGCCTCCTTCGATACTTCGAAATAAATTAGTAGGTATTGTGCCTATCATTTTAAAATACTGGTCAGAGAGGTCGAATTGAAAAATTCATTTCGATGACTAATGAAATCTATGAGCGTTGAATTTGTATCGGTAATTAAAATGTAGTAATTATTTCCAGCAGATTATTAAGCGGTTTTAATTGAAATGCGCGGGGTTACTCAGTTCATTCAGATCAAACGGGATGTTAAAAACGACCAGTTTTGTGACTGATTCGAGCTCTAGTTGTGATGCGAATCGACCGTTTTTCTACGTGTTTATTTTCGGTGGCGAAAATAACATTGTAACTCGCCATTTGGTTAATAATGATTATCTGGAATATTTTTTTAACACAAATTTTGAAATTATGTGCGTATTGTTAGTGTAAATTTGGCAACAAAATCGATATAAATGGCGAACGACGTAAAGGGATTTTGCGAAAAATATACCAATAAAAAAAAAGATAAAATTTAAGCAAAAAATTGAGTTTAATAACAATGTTTTTATTAGTTTGTGCTAACATATCCACCAAAACTATTTACTGTTCATTGATTATCAGTTACTTGCAGATATTTGCACTGGACTACTAATTAAGAGTAGATAGTAGACGGTTGGTACAACTAACGCGGGTTAATGACCTTGATTCCTATATAACCGCTGATGTTCCGAACACAAGGTGGCGGAAACTATGGTCAATATTATTATCAAACTTTTTACCTATTCTTTTCTTATCATTTATAATCGTAACTAAAATAGGCACAAACGAAAACGTCCTTAAATTAAAAAAGTATTGGACTAGGCATTTTATTTTTGTATAGTATTCTTTCCTCTCAAACTGATACAATCCTCACTTTATTGGCAAATATCGTATCTCTTCAATTAATTTTATTCAAAATTATGTTGTTTCACTTTAAACCAAACTTGTACCTAATTGTTTGTTTCGTGTGCTAAAAAAGACTTCGAAAAACATAAATAAGTTTGTATTTCCGGACACCCTTCATCTATTATTCCTAGAAGAAGATTACCCAAGTTATTTTTAAAGGATACTAAGTAAAGCCAAGCACTTAAGATAATATTTGTTTATATAAGTCGTAACGTTTTTTTCACTTCGTGTATTGCAGAGAAATATAAAAATTCCAATGTGTCATTAGGGCCGCTGCTAGTATTTTATTAATAGGTTTTCCACGGGGCGTTCTGATTAGATAAATTGCAAACAGGTTAATCGAAATGGTTGTACAAAAATTCAGGCATAGTTTTTGTGTTGAAATGTTCGCGAACAATCGTTTTAGAAAAGGAAACAATAGGCGAAGTAATTGTTGGCGATTACTTCATTTTGTTTATGAACTGACTAAGGCAAAAAGTTTCCTTTCACTCTCGCTGAGCGCCAAAGGAATGTACGTTGCCGTTACGAAATTTCCCGCCACGGCGGGATGTTTTCTACAAATTGGAACTTATTTTCAATACTGAATTTTTCAACTGTTCCGCCAAAATACTTATCATACATCAATGAGCAGCCTTCCGATGGCGTGGCGTCGACGTCAATGAGAGATAAAACGTTTACATTAAATTCTTATATGGAGGTAAGACGACGATAATAAAAACTTTAATTACGGTGTTATGAAAATGTATCTTTTATTTGCGCAAGGTTACGTGCTTCATCATGCAGCGTTTGCAAAAGCGATTTTCACAGACAAGCACCAACAGTTCCATTAAAGTTTGATAATTAGAAAAGTCAATAAATTTAAGCGCATCCAGTGTGATATATTCAATTCTGTGCATTTCTCATTACATCTGATTTTTTGCCGCTGATTTGGCAGAAGTGTATTAAAATAAAATATGTACTTCAAATGAGATAAATTTAAAACCGCTACAGGTCCAGATAAGTGAACGGCCTCGTGTCTCTATATATATAATGGTATGCGAATATTGAAGGCTGTGTGATTTTAAACGATAATTCACTATTATTCATCATTAAGGTGTTTTCGTTATTACAAAATCAAAGTGTATATTTTTGAATGTACATTTTCAAGACATCAGACTCATAACAATAATAAAGAAAACATATATCTTTGTAAATTCCAATTGTCATTAGTTATTAATTATTATTAGTTTTATTCAAAAACTCTCCTCAAATATTGAATTTAGATTTTTCGAACATATCTTTGTTGATCTTCATTAAGAACCAACTATCAGTTAAATGTTTCAAGCAGTTTTAAAGCTATTATTTTTAGCATTGATATTGATATAAAAGGTATTCTTTTTAACTTTTCTTTGGTTTGGAAATTCAATGAAACGATGCCCGTGGCCTGCACTGATCAGTAAACAGGTAGAAAAAACTTTTAAAGATACTGCGAGATATCTCACTTCATTTTAAAGGTAGCATTTTAGAGTTATTGCCTTATCTTACCGAAAAGCTAATATAATATAATAAACACATTTTTTAGTGCTTCGCAGATTAGCGTTAGCATTTTTTATTTTGGTCATTTAAGGATTTTATTGCAATTGAAATAAATGGCAACCGCAAGTATTAATTTTTGTATTCCGCGACAACCTTAACCCAGATGGGTAGGCAAATCGCAGGTTTGACCTTAAGTTGGAGTTTGTTACATCCAAATTTGTTCATACGCGTTGTTGGACGGGTTTGACGAGGATGGATTAATATTCTTAATAAACGATGACGCGATTGCAAAAATATTTTGGGCAGCCCATTGCGCATTAATATTTACCAATCGAGAATAGGTATTCAAAGCTTTCAACAGGATTAATAAAAGAACATATTAGTTAAACAATAGTAAAAAACATATTTCCAAAACGAATTTATTTAAATTCAGAACATTAGATTAGAAATAAATATATTCAAAAAAGAACGACCTCCATTTTTCGTTTCGGTGGTTTTTAGGTCGTGGAGCATAAACGAACGACATAAGTTTTAAATGAAATTGTTGCGCATCAACAGTAAGTTGTTAGAACTCGAACACACATTCCTCTAGTATAATGTCAATGACAACTCAAGGTTCACAAGTGGTTCTTGGTATTATTTGTTAGAATATTATTTGTTTCTTGTTATCGACAACAGATTCTATTATTTACCACACGGTTATAAATATCACGTTCCTGTAGAATAACAGCATACTCGAAGAGATTATACTTGCTAAGTTAAAAATTAAAAAAAAAAGTGATCTTTGCGGTTTTCGTGAATTCGAGCTCAAAACAATCGCATTATTCTTAAAGAATTGTACCGACATTTTTTCTAAGGAATTTTTAGTCAATTATGAAATTAATAAATTGTTTAAGTTAAGTGGAATTAAACCTGGAGTTAATATTAACGCTAATGCCGTTCAATACGGTTTAAATTTCTAATGGAGCATGTATTATAATTTGTCAGATATTATATCGAATTAACTACTGCGGCGGGATGGATCATATATATTCATTAAAATTGTAATGATATTGATGAAATGATATTTATAAATTTACACATTTTCATATGCTTAACGCCGTTGATGAGTAGATAATTTCCTCTTAAACTGAACGATTTTTCTTTTTTATTTCAGTATTTCTTCTTATGTAATCGAAAAATAATGGGATGCTTGTGAGGTTTTCCAAATGACCCCTTCAACAAATTTTATATGCATTGTTTGCACATATTTTTTTAAATAGAACATTAAATATTTTTCTAGATTTAAATAATATGTTATTGACAATTCCTAATTCCCGTCAGGCAAAATATTCCTCCATATCAATTTTATCACTGTTATTGAATGCTCATATTGTTTTCTAAAATACAGGGTGTTTCAAAACAAATGGGCCATAGAATAGCAGCATAGTTTTTGAAATGAGAAATTAGATGATGCAATAACTTGTAGATGACTCCATTTGCACATTTTACCAAAATACCATCATGTTTTTTTTGTATATTCTCAAATTTGATTTCCGTAATAATTATTAAAAATATTACTGTTAAATGAACTCACTAATAGTAACCAGTGAAAACCGAAATAGAAAGAAGACTTAAAAACAAAAAAAATCTAATGTGTTTTTTATTACTATTACTTAGGAAAAATCAAATTAAGGAAAATTTTCTTAGATACAATTGTAATGAAATTAAATTTTATTTAATTAACTAATTTAATAATTATTCCAAAAAAACAAAACTTCAATTAGATATTATAGTCACCACCATGCACTTCGATATATTCTGCAATTTATTTAATGAAGGATTGTCTAATTTTAACAAATTAGATTTTGATTCGGAACTCATTAACAGCATCCTGAATGTTAGGTCAGTTCTTCACACCGTCTTGGGTCTTTGCAAACCACCCAACAAGCTATCGTGTCATTTTTATAGCCACAGCCATCAAATTTATGAAGTCGTATTGTAAAAAATGTAAAAAGGGTCGTTGCATCAAAATTTGAGGCTGGGACCATTTGATCCTAGTATATAATTATTTACTATGCCTGCCTACACGTTCATCTTGGACGTGTGCAGGAAAAGTCTTTCGATATAAAATAAGGATTGTCTAAAGACCTCACCGGTAAAAGTTGCCTGGTCGATAAATTGGCTGGTTTCAAACAAAGATAGAAACTTACTCTAATAGCAACACTTAATCGACGACTACTTGTTTGTGGATCATCAGCTACACGGATTAGAATTTCTTCTTCCTGATCTATCCAATATTCCTTGGAAGTCATCCGTTGTGCTCCTTTTGATTCTGAAGCTCGGACCAGAACGGTAAAGTATTGGTAAAAAACGCATTGTATTGCATTGCTAGATAAACATGCAAATATCTTGAAAATTTCTTAAAATGCAGATATTAAACAGTAATCCCTTTTTTACTCAGAAAATACACTGAACACGACCTTGACTTATCAAAAATTAAATTTGAGAACATTCAAAAAAATATGGTATTTTTGCAAAAATGTGTGTGCAGATGGCGCTATCTACAAATTTAATTGCACCGAAAACCCCCACATGCGAATTTTGGTGCCTATATCTTTAAAATTGTGCACGTAACTAATAAAAAAAAGAAAAAATAAAATTACTTTTATCACCCTGTATCTCCGTAAGTATTGACTGTAGGCCAAATCTAAATATTTTTATATAAAGAATATGTTGGTATTTTATGGCCCATTCGTTTTGAAGCACCCCGTATACAAATTTTTTGCTTCTTCTGGTTTTGTAGATATTATTAAATAAATAAATATATAATGGCGTCTATTATTTATGTGTTACTAAATTCTCAACAAAAAAAACTTTTTACAAAATAATTGAGATTATTAATAATTTCAGAAATTTCGTAGAGATAGCCCTAGTTTTGACGTACTACTGTGGTAATGCAGTTTACGTGGTATTCATCACAGAATCGTTGACAAAAGTGAGTACTGTGATCGCTTTGCGCAATGGCTCACGAACCTAATCAATTTTTTCCAGCTCTTCGCCCCGTATTTCCCAGAAACGGCATCATGGGACCAGTATTTTAAGCTAATGATTTTAGTACCTCTCATCTTGTGTTGCCAAGTGAGGGAGTTAAAGCATCTGGTGCCATTCTCATTTATAGCCAACACATCCATGATCATAGCGTTTAGCATTACTCTGTATTACACGTTTGCGCAACTGGCTGAAGTGAAGGTGTCAGACAGAAATTTGGTTACTACTCCAGCGGGTATGATATGCATATAAAAAATTGAAGTCCCTGATTGGTGGACCAAATTAGAAGTGCAAAAGTTTATCTATGATTTTTTGTTACGCAGGCATTCCTTCATTCTTCAGCACCGTGATCTTCGCAATGGAAGGAATAGGTACAATAATGCCTGTGGAAAATTCTATGGAGAAACCCCAGTTTATAGGATGCCCAGGAGTATTGAACTCAGCCATGACGGCAGTAGTACTTCTTTTCTCGGCTATAGGATTCTTCGGGTATTTGAGTTTTGGTGAAGAAACGCAAGCAACCATCACGACCAATTTGCCCTCTGAAGAGATGTATGTGAGATTACCTTACATGGGATTACATACTTATTCATCGACCGTCATTTTATTTTAGACCTGCGCAAGTCGTCCAGGCTAGCATATCGCTTGCAGTGTTCTTCACGTTCATGCTACAGTTCTATGTACCATTGGACATCACGTGGAGAAGGATCAAGGATAAAATTCCACAAAATAGGCATAATATCAGCCAAATATTGTTAAGGACGGGAATAGTGATATTTATTACAGGTAGAGTTTTATGCTTTACTAGGGAAAAAGGATAATACCTCGTCCATATACAGATTTATCCACCAAATTACATAAAACATCCACACTATCAACTCTGAGATACACGTTACACTGTTTGCAGGAATAGCAGCAGCAGCTGGCCACCATTTGGATGCGCTCATCGACTTGGTTGGGGCAGTTTTTTTCTCGACTTTGGGGCTTTTAGTCCCTGCCGTTATCGAAATTATAGTAGATTGGGATGGCGATTGGGGAGTGCTTTATTGGCGTCTGATTAAAGACCTCGCAATTATATGCTTGGCTATTTTCGGGCTGATTTCTGGCAGCTACTCGGCTATTCAATCTGTTTTATAAGTTATATTGTGTATAGGTACGGGTTAATATAGGTGAGAACTGTGCGCATAAGCATAAGCATAATTGTACCTGTTTATGTTGTTCATTTGCTGATAATCAAGGGATTATAAGAAAATTACTTGGCTTTTGGCATGGAGGGCAAACCGATATAATGAAAGATGCTTTTAGTTTTCCTTTGGAATTAAATGACAAATTGTGACGCCTGTGTGTAATTTGTCTGACGCTTATATATTTGTTGTGTCTGTAAAATTGGTTAAAATTTATATATTAACAGATTTCAATTTTATTTCTTATTGCTGCATTTTTCCAGTATTCTGGGTACTGGTTGTCGATACAGTAATAACATTTGCGATATACAGGGTGTTTTAGTTAACGCTATCGCCGCCTGTTGTCTTTATTCGGTTCTAAAACTTGGAACTGCTTCCGTCCTTCCTGTTAGAAACGTTATGAAGCAATTCCAACCGATGACCGCTCTTAGTCCCGAACAAGGGCGACAGTTCGTTATACTGGATGTATACAAAAGTATCAAACAATCTGATTGCGCTTTCAATTCATATTTCATATATCTAACTGGTGTGGTTTTTGAAATAAAAGCAGTTTTCTAATAAATTATTAATGAAAAATTGACAATAGTTATTGCATTTGCACACCATTTTTTTATTAGCCAGTATTTAAAAAGTGATGAAAAAAGCATTGAATTAAACGTGAAAGTGAAGTTGTGCAGAATCTTCATAGAGGAAGGCATATGAATATATTTTACAAAAATGATCAGAACAATGGACCAACATGCAATTTGTTTTACGTTTACCTAACATAATCTTTATTAAAATTGAGTTTCAGTTGTGACAATATGAAAAAACAATGGTTGATACCTCTTTAGAATAAAATTTCATGTGATTTTGGGCAAATATTGATATAAAAATAACAATAGCTTGTTCAGGAAAACCAATGTTACATTGTCACTACATCATCTAAATATTGTTCGTTTTTGCCTTGCAACTAACACAGTATACACCAAGCACATTTAACATTAATTCTACAAGGAATAAATTCATTCTAGGTATCGCCGCTGCCGCTGGTCACCATTTAGATTCCTTGATCGATTTGGTGGGCGCCATTTTTCTGTCCACTCTGGGATTGCTCGTACCAGTAATCATCGATGTCATCGTACTCTGGGACGAAGGTTACGGTTGGTTTTATTGGAAATTGTGGAAGGATATTTTCATCGGGGTTGTCTCCATTTTCGTGCTGTGTTCTGGAACATATACCGCTATTATTAATATGATGACTGGGTGATTTTATAATTACCTATTAAAGCAAGGGCATTGCAATGCGAATGCGTTTAGCGCCGTTAGTATTTCCGAAAATAATAAGCCAAACCTAATATTTTTCATTGTGTTGAGACTTTGCAAATTAGCAATGGTAGTATATTATATTAATATAATATCTCAACCAAGATCAGACATTTGTAACAGAAGCCAAATACACAGGATCGTGATTTTAAATTGTTTACCTTATCGTTTAACACACGCCTTGCCTTTTTTAAATTACAATTTTAAAATTGAGTAATAGTGTTTATAGCAATTACTGACTTAACTAACCTTTATAAGGTGCTACAAAACTTCCAATAAAACATTTCGTTAATTATTATTATTGAAGAGAAGACGGACTCTGTGATATCAAGCATTACAAATATCTCTGTGGTTAGAAATGGTAAGAATATGTGTGTAATATAAAGTCACACCGCCTTTGGGTGTAGAAAGCGTTATTCTAAAATCAAAATGAATCAAAGTTGTTATTTATTTCAACACGTTAACAGCCGATAGCGTAAAATAATACTATCATTAGTTGTGATAAGCCACTGTGTTATTTAGTGTAATCAGATGTTTTAACATTGTATTAATAGATTAAGTCGCAATATTTGTAACAAAATATTGTCGTGTATGTATGTACTTAATTAAAACAATCTAACCATTCTCAATGTCGACTTCACATTTTTGCCTTTCCGGTAGCCCATATTTATGAATAATTTCCTAGAATTTGCCAAAGTAATATTGACATTATACGTTGATGCATGTTTTTAAATGAGCTTCTGACAAAATTTTAAATATTAATTTAAAAAATATTTCGATTTGTTTTAACTTGAGTATTTTTTTCTGGCTGTCTTTCTGTTGCCCTTCAATTTTTTTTAATTGCTGGACGGGCGAGGAAAAAATATTATACTGAGTTGCCGAAAATGTATTCATATTGAACGGTAAAGCTGGTTAGGAATTGTCACAAATACCTAAACTATTCGTAGGTATATATAATTTAAATACAAGGACCAACCAATTGAAATTCTTATGAATTGCAAAAAGTATAACAGTTGAAGAAACGAGACACTTAATAAAAGTAGCATATTAATGCCAGCACTGCACTTATGGACATTTATATTATTTCTTTAATACTATGAATTAAAAATCATTTATATTTTGATTCATGTGCAAGCGGTTGCATATTTAGAGTGAATAAAAAATGTTTACGTATATATTAGCAAAATTTTTCCGAAATGACATTATTTACATTTTTATTTATTAGTTCATTGCTCATGCAACAAAAATGTCGTAAAAAACATAATACTCTGAGTACTTAGGCAACCAATTATATGCTTGCTATTACCCCATATTACCCCAAGCATAAAAAAATGCTTTTTTGCTCTGAAATTATGTATTTTGTTGCACTTAAGAATACATTACATGTGTCAAAAAAAATTGTGCGTTTTTTTATGGTGCGTCAGCGCACCACTGGTGACAACCGGTTTCATTTTTGATGATGTTTTACAAAGCATGAAGTATGTAAATTCACATTACACTTATTATAAACGTAAATTGTGTGGCTGTGGCAGATTCTATATCTCCTTCGGGCTTTATTAGCATGAACAATCATGATGAGGTGACCTTGATTATCATAACGCACTTCATCTATAGCAGGTGCAAGATTTCTTTAAGTAATTATTTTATCAGTTTTTAAAAGTCGCAAATCAATGTAACGTTTAAAATCAAATCAATCACTTCGTCATCAAAAAACATAAAAAAAATTTCAAGCGGTGTTTTTCCAGAAAGCCTGTGTGGGTGTACTCAATCTGACCTTTTTTCCACTTGACAGTAGAAGCAAGTCGTTTGCAGAAAGCATATGAGTCCCTGATGAGTCCCATTCAGGTTCAGTGGTTAGTGAATTACAGGATTGTTTAAGGACAGCTGTATCATTCGGTAGATTAATGTTATCGTTCATATTTTCTTCGTCAGTCAAGGTATCCACGTCGGGTGGAATATAGACCGCGCAATATATTTTGTAAATATTTTTTCATGTTATTTTTAACATAAATTTACAAGGAATGGAATGCTGCAATACATAAGAATACGTAAATCCAAATAATACTAATGACTGTCATTGTTATTGTCCTCATCCATCACGATCTCCTCCATAGCCGCCTCTAATTCCTTTTGAGTCAAATACCTCGGAAATGCCATATTTTACGAACTGTAATGTTCACTGCACAAGGCACAAACTAATATTAAAGAACACGCTAATTGTTGTCTAGACTTGCAATAACAAAGTTTTGGTTAGTAAATATTTTCAAAAAATAATGCATAATCAATATAGTATTTCCAATGTATGTTTTCTGCGATGTAATCTACATGCTATAGACTTAACAAAAATGGCAACACAAATCCAAAATATTTTTTTTTAGTATTTTGGATTTACTTGAAAATGTGATACAAATTTATGTATTGCTTTTGTTAACTTTTGAAGTCATATATAAGATTTTTCTTTTACACACAAATTAGCGATTTCTACAGTTTTATGTCCTTTAGTAGTGATAATAATTAAATTTCTAAGTGGATGTGCAAAAATATTTCCTGGATATGACAAAAAAAAATCATAGGTGGTGCATTAACACACCACTGGGACAAAATGGGTTAATGGGTACTACGGTATACTATTGTTAATGATAAAATTTGCAAAATTGCAAAATCACCTAAATATTAATAATAATAATAATAATACTAATAATAATAATATACTTTATTCAGGTAATTTCGAGAAAATTACAAGAAAAGGCAAGAGTGCAGCGCCCACACGTATCTGTATGCTGATTTCTACACTTATCCTTACATAAACAAAAAAACAGGACGTATCACAAAATTATTCGTTAAGTAACTACCTAGATATAGAAAAAAAAAACCTAAACCTACCTCTCTAACAAAACTAACAGCCAAAAAGGTCAGTACATTTTTAAAAGTTTTGAAAGTAACTAGGTTTATAGTTTATTAGGAAAAAACTTTATTGTCGCATTCTGAATTGAATAGAGCAGTTAATTATATTGTTTAGCCAAGTCGTAACTAAAGGATCTTTCAAATATACCAGATTGGTGACGAGGAATAATGACTCCTTTCCATCTTAGATTTAAGTTGTTCACGTCTGTTCTAAAAGTTATTTTTTCTAAGAGGTATTCTGGGTATTTGGTTTTAATGATGAATGAACTTCAGGTAGTGTTTGAGAAGAGTTGAGAAGCGTTAGCTCTCAAGCAAGACCCTTACACGACATCGCAGTGATTAAAGACGTAGACAATATGAGCATTGCAAAACGTTTTTTAAGATTTAAAGTTAGACGACCAATTGTAGAAGGTGAGATGTGTTTTTCAAAGCAAAGTTTTGTGCCTAAAAGTAAACCAGTTTTCTAATGGCAGAATACTTTATAGGCAAGACACTTAACATCTACCGGACGGCCGAAAAATATTACCCTAGATTTTTTCGTAGATCTTTAGAAATTCTGTCAATTCGTTCAAGGTGACTGTTGGTATTTTGGAATTCTAGATGTAAGCGAGAAGAGTCACTAATACGGTAGAGCTGCTTGTCGTCAGCACATGACTGTATTTTACATTACTCGACGAAATCTAAGAATTTTGTTGTGAAAACAACAAACAAAACAGGAGCTAAAATCGAGCCTTGTGGAACTCCATTTCTTATGTCTAGGCAATCAGACTCGACTACGTTCAACACCACCTTTTGCTTTCTCCGCGTTAAGTAGTTTTTTATTAAATTCACAGATGCTTCCCCAAGAAGAATGGTGACGAGAATCTTGTGACTAATGGTATCAAAAGCCCTAAAATATTCAAGTATTACCACACACTTTCCTTCGTCAGTTCCTCTAATGATGTCATCTGTCATTTTCAACATAATTCACTATTTGAGTTTATAGAACACTTCTATAATCTTAAATAATATTGGCTGAATAGAAATGGGTCTTAAATCACTAAATGACTGCGGGTGATCAATTTTCCAAATTGAGGGAAAAACATGATGATGCAAAAATTTGTCTTGTCGGTACTTATAGTTGTTGATCACTGGTGATGTCGAATTTGAAATTGAAATAGAGTTAATATAAGCTTTGTTTAAAAAAATACGTAATCATAATTGAAGCTTGCAAAATTAGTAACTGTATTTATAGGTTTAGTAAACTCCAACCAGAACGTTGTACTTGTTGTGCTGTAGATATGGTTGCAAATCCAGTATTGTAAGTATATTCTTATTGTGCATTTCCAGAGAGCCCAAAACAGTCTAAATAATATCATTTATTGTCAATTCAATGCGACAGAAGGAATCTATTACTTTCATTTACTGAGGATGGTCTAATAAAGGCCCGAAACATCGCCACAGCAACATTAATCCAAATCTACCATGTATCGAAAAATGTCACCTCGAAATTAATAAAAATTTAATGATAATTCTGAATTACACTTCCTTCTCATTACAATTAAATAATAATGTTAGCTGCAGATACTCCGATCAAAATATATAATTGCACCACCTTCTGTTTAAGCCTAAGTATTCCAAGCGATCGATCTTTCTATCTGAAGCACTTTTACTTTCACTCTATAAAAATCATAATAGCGAGCGGTCGTTCTACATGATTTAGATATGCTTTTTACCATAAACATTATTTTCGAGTATTTAATAGATATATGTGTTTTAGTTTGCTAGGAGAAAGCAGTTAACGCTTCTAGTACAGTTTTTGGCAATAACAAAACGTTCTGGGTGTGTCATACCGCAAGGTAAGGTTTATTCCTTACCGTCAAGGTCTTCTGTTAAATTAAATAAGTAAATTAAATTAAAATTTAAAACAAAATTGGGTTTAGTTTGGACATATCCTTTTTAAAATAGAAATGGTGGAGTTCTCTATAAATCTCATATTTTGGGTCGTCATCACGGAGTTTTGCAAGACTTTCTGAATTTTTTTGGGCGGTTCCACTTGATCTGCTGTCTTTCTTGCAATAATTGAAATAGTCATCTTTTAAATTCAAGTCATTCTTCAACATCTTTCAAAACATTGACTTTTTGTTCATTGATAAGGAAGAATTATTGCAGCTTCTATTCAGTGGAATCAAAGTTGATAATGATGCTGTTGCCACCATAGTTTGACAGCACATGCACATAATTTTTAGTTCGCCATTAGGTATTTACGGTTGTTCATTATATACCTCAAGGCCAATCCCCGATTTTGTTAGTTTGTGCCATTTAAAACCAGGCTTTAACAATTTTCGCTTTTTAGAAAGGAGCATTTTTGATTTTTGATCTGTTTTTGATATTTTTCCTACGAGAATTCGTTATTGGCTAAACACCACGAATACAGTTATCATCAGAACTGACAAACGTCAATACACCATGGGTAAAATCGACCGAAAACATCTGATGGCTTCAAAGCCCGTGACTAGAGTACTGGAAGCTGACACTTTTAAGGGACACTTTGCGCCCGCTTGATTGGTACAACATTAGGTATTTTAGAGTGGAGAGAGACGAGTGAGTGCTACAGCGTTATTGTCTAAAATAATTAAACTCAATGAGCATGTATTCGAAGCTTATTAACGACAGAACCTACTTAAGACGGTGCCTATTATTTCTTGAAACGATTGTTAGACACGCTTTTCAAACTACTGCAGTAATTATAAAAGAATGTTTAAAATTCTTTTCCGAATTTCTGTAAAAATTGCAGCTTATTAACCTGTGTAATGAAACCTTTGGAAAAGCTTTGAATTTTACTAGTAGTTCGGTCCAGATTCAACAGTAACTAAGATCCTTTTTTCAGTTCTTAAGATTTACAAAAATTGTAGTATCAGTAATCTGCAATCTCTACTTTGCCAAAGATATGAAATTGATGGAATGTTGAGGATGAATATTAAGATCAGCAAACTCTCACATGAGGAATCAAACTGTAAGTAACTTCTAACGAACATTTTGAACCAACCTTAATATAGGTGCTCCACTTTAAATCAAAATATTCTATAAAATTGGAGAGCTAAAGAAATGCAAACTAACTAAAACCATCAATTGCGCTATCGGATCGACAGGTAACAGGTACTAGTTTTTGCCAAGCATTTTCGGATTGAGCAGTAAGAGGAAACTGCAAAAGATTTTAACAATAACTAAATGAATACCACGAAAATTACGTGTGTAGCGTCAACTCCAAAGGTTTCCAATGCAATGCTCTAATTCATTTGTTTCACATAATAAAGACTTTAAATCATTAACCCCGGTGGGGATTTTATATTATTTTAAAAATCGGCATAACAGTGTCCAACGACGCGAACATCATTGATTAAACAATTCCCCGGGAAATAATAAATACGTTTTTGTTCCACCCAAATTAAATATTAGCCACATACACAAAAAACATTTCTCTTCATCTGAGGCACTTTTTTAAATAAATTTCATATCAGAGCTTCGATGTGTTTTTCAAACGTGAGTTGACTCATCTCTATTTAAACCAGTGCCTCTACAAGAGTTGCGGGTAATGAAAAAAAATGTAACGAAAAAGCTGCGAATGTTTTTCTGAAAATGTTCGGACCTTCTACTTTCCAAGGCCAGTCGGACGACAGCGCGCGAGTAACCTTGAAGCGAAAGTCCACAGGAAAAGTATCCGGTAATCTCGGAGGACATAGACAATACGGTCTGATATGGGAGGGCGGCGGTTCTTCCAAAAAATTAAAAAGGTATAAGTATATGGCTATAAATTAAGGTGGGGTTTCGACTTAGCTGCACTCTCTTGGCAGCGGTGATCGCGTTTTGATTTGCGGCTCATTTCAAACATGCACCGGAACATCTACGTGATTGTAAGTGTGGATTTGTATGTAGTTTAATGTGTTGTGCACAGTATTCGTCCTTCGTAATCGAGTGCCCAAAATTTCGGAGGATTGGACACTTGTGAATAGTTCGAACAAAAATCTAGAACGTGCAAATGGTTAAAAATTGTTGGCTTATATTAAATATTAATACTAGATATTGTTCTTTTTAAGCATTCCTAACAGAAATGTTCTTTTCTACTCAATCAGCGTCTACCACCTTCAGGCAATCATGTAGGAACATTTACCAAATAAATCTTTCGAAAATTGGTACAAACTGTCTAATTGCAACTAATTACGACTAATTATTGTGAATCTTCGGCAGGTAACTTTGACACTAAGCATCGCTTGTGTACGCTCAGAAGTTGACTTAAAAGATGGCCCGACCAAACCCACACTAACTTCCTATAACTCAATTTCTACCACCGAAAAACCGGGATCACTGGACTTCCAACAAATTAATCAAGCTTCCTATTTCGGCCACCGATTCCAACCCCGTCAAAATCAGTACTTTAACTACCAGCAGCAGCAGCAGCAGCTTCAGCCAGTACAGTACCAATACCAAGAGGTACGGTCCCTTAAATTTTGATAAGGGTTAACAACCTAAATGATTTTTTTTGTTTCAGCTACCCAGAAGGCAGATCCAATTGCCGCAACATCAGAAACCAATACCAGTCGCTATGGTGATCATAGCTCAACCAGCTATAGTTCCCGCAAGCGCTCTACAGCCACATAACATGCAACAGCTTCTACAGTACTTTAGGGGTAACTCTTTAGCGAGGTAAGTTGCGCAAATGAGATTTTCTCCTAACACAAGAAAATTTAAAGATGGAATTTGATGGAAAGTTGGCCAAAGTACCCAAATAGCGCCAGTAAAAACGTATACACGATTGCTGTGAGGAATACGTTATTAAACGAATAAAAAATTATACACTGTCAAATTCGAAAATCACCAACAACTCATTTATAGTCTAGCTTAATCTTTGGTATTCTATATATTTTATTAATTGTAATTTTGGATCTTATATCAGTAAATCGGTATCCTTCAACCTTTTAAAATGTGATTTCCATCTTAATTTTCTTCGAACCAGTTTTAACAAGAAGCAGCAAATATTCAATGAGTAATCTCGTTTATAGTAAGATTTTGTCCTATTTTTATAAGAGAGTTAAAAAGGTTTCCATTAATTAGGTTAATATTTATGAAAAAGTTCTATCTTATAAAATATATAAAGCCCTAAATTGTTTGTCCTCTCTAGTCCTCTTTAGTCAGAAATATCATTCGAAAAAAGTTGGAGACACAGCATGAAATAAATTGAGCTCTGCGACGTTTAATCGATTTCATGTTAGCATAATATTTTTACCAAAACAGTTTTCAGTAACCCCTTCTTTTAATTGAAATGTTCGAAAAAATTAAGTCCACCTTTTAAGTGGTACTTCAAGAAATGTAATTTTAATGAATTGGTCCAATTGTCCTCACGACACTATATTTGAACGGACGTCGCGAACGATGTGGTTTCCGCCATGTGAAAGGCCGTAATTAATACTTGTCTAATGTGACCAATTAAAAGTAGCAACTTTCTTCCACTGGTTTTGCTATATGATCTCAAATTATCGTTATTAAAATTGTTGGTTGCGCAACCTAACGGTAAAAAAAAACAACAAAATATAATCTAAACTCATGCTCCGTTAAGAGCTGCCTTTTACTCAGAGTTAATGACTTTAGAATTATTGCAAAAAGAAATGAAAATAATCGCCGTTGACCTTCTTTGCGATTATTCGTAGCCTGGAAGTAAAAGCGCCGTGTGTTTGTATGACGATGTTTATTAATGAGTGTCAATGAAATTTGCTCCCGCATATTAACGGTAATAAAATTTGCAATTTTTTTCAGCCAGTCCGAAAGTCTGTGTCAATTGTTAATTGTTATTGACAGTTCTATTCTATTTAGGGGTTTAACAAATAAAATTTGCGATTTATCTGCAAAATTATGATAATCCGAGAAAGTTTCAACTTATTGTTTTGCTACACTCGCGCCACCATCATATATCTTATCTATCTATCAAATATCTTATAAATGACTTAAGTTAAAAACTAATGGGACATAAATCGGCGGATAACTATGAAGTGGAGAAGCTTTAGAAGATAGCCTGTTCAAAAAGTAATTGCTACCAAGCTTTCGTTTGTGATTTAATGAGAATTTTTTAACAAATGAGACAAACATTCTTTCACCAACGTTATCGTGTTCCTTTTGCGTGATGTTCGGCGCTTCACTGCGTACTTTTCTACTTGTTTGGCATCTTTGCTTCTCTGCTTTGTGAACAATCAATTTTATGAATGTCATTATAAACTTCTTCAGAATCCTATAATGCTCCTCCGTCAAAGCCAAGGAGCACAATAATAATTGAGTATTAGGCAAATTTGCCAAGAAAGTACGCAGTGAAGTGTCGAACAGCATCGAAAAGCATAATCACAGAATCTCTGAATTTTTGTGCTTTGTATTGTATAGTCCTTTATTTGTTAAAGAAATCTGGTTAACTTGTAGTAACGAATGCAGGCTTGATGGTCCAATAAATTGTTATTACTGGTTAAGTAGCTGATATTCTTTAAAGCTTCTTTTCCACTTCATGGTTATTGAAGTTATAAAAAAATGTTCGTCGGATTTTTTATTCAATTTTACTTTAATTGTTATTTGAAATGAAATTTACTTAATTGAAATCGTACAGCCAAAGCCAAATAGCGGCAAGTCAAAAATTTGCTGATATTCTTATCTCTGTATGTGTCTAAAATTTTATGAACACTTCAATACATCAATAAGCTTCAAATTTTAATATTTTCGCTAATAACTTTCGTCCACAAGAGAAACGAATTTCTGGTGGTTTTTCGCTATTTGAAAATTTTCATTAAATACTATCTAATTATTTTCAAGGTACCAATTGCTACACGGAAATTACGCCCAGACACAACCACAATACAGTTTCCAGCCTGTTCCAACCAAGCAGATCCCTCACTATACCAAATACCCTTTCCAACAAAGTCAAGAAGCTCAGCCGATTCAACAGGCGCAGCCAACTCAGCAGATCCAAACGGAAGCTACACAGCATCAAGAATCTCCGGTACAAACGAGGGCACTTTATGATAACTCAGAACAACAACCAATTTTGCCTCAACCATTAATCGGTCAACCGCCTATCGCAAATAGCATATCTCAGCCTCAATACCAGCAACCGACTCAAACGGATCAACAGGAAAAGCCTTTTCAGCTGAGCGAAATCTCGCAAATCGCCCAACAAGCTGCTCAACATTTTCTCATGTCAGGTGGTGTTTCTAACGCTGTCGAGGGATCGAAAGGCTACAGGACTGCCCCGGCCATAATCACTGGATTGGAGAATTTCTCCCCCGAACATCAGGAAAAAATCAAAGCTCAGCTAAGTGCGCACTTCGGAGCACCATTGCAGCCATTTAAAGTTAGAGGTCAGAAGGGGATGTTACCCAGCACAAGGTACTACCCAAATCACAGACCCACCTACGATGACAATAATTCGTCTAACGAGAGGGAAACGAGTAGGTCTAGCGAAGAAACAAAATCTTAAGTAGAAATTATTACAAATTGTTGTCTCACCCTTCTGATGTTAGCTGTATTTTTCTTATCTGTACAAGACTGATTAATGTGCTGTAGTAAAACTTGCAGTAGGACCATATGTGTTTTCTGTTACAAAGCTATTCTACCATTCTTCAACCCCTTCTCATTTTATGGTTAATTCTTTTAAGCTGTAGTTTTAGGATTTGTTATTTTGTTAATAAAAATAAGATCGTTATTTTGTTTTTCATTACGATTTCAGTATACAATAGCGCTTTTCTTTTTCCAAGTTTGTTTTACACTTTATGAACTAATTCGCCCAAATGCTCGTGATCAGTTTCAAAATTTGTATCAGAGTGTCTTAAGTTTTGTTAGTCTTCCTTTCCTTAAAATAAATTATTATTAACCGTACATTAAATGCCGTTAAAGAATCACTTGAATATTGAATTACTTGTGTAGCCCTAATAAGTGCAAAACATATTTTTTATTTGAAGAATTATTGTATCGCATTACTTAACTTTGCAAAATTTCCTTGACCCAACTATTGCTGAAATTGTTCTATAAATATTCCCTATAGAGAAAACAATAACTTCTCAAAAAAGAATTGGAATGGCGAAAATGAACCAAACATTTTAAATTTTTGTTTGAAGTTGATTAGGGTATCTAATCATATTATCAAAAATGCGCTAAATCATTGGCAAATCACATATTTTTTTATATTAATTAATTGAAAAGTATGTTCTTAAATAATAATAATATCCAAAAGTATTTTTTTCACATTTCGACAGCGTATATGTCCGAAGCAACGCATTTTAGGACATAATTTTAAATGAACGTTTTGCTGCTTTCTGAGCACCCAGTACAAAATGAGTTTATTTATCCCAAACAGTGAAGTATTTATTTTGTATTTAAAACCATATGAACCTTTCATTTTTGACGGACAATGACACCATAAATAAATATTCTTCTACTTGCTCTCCTCGCGGTTGATTTACCAAAAACCAATCGCCAACCACTAACTATCTCCGTCCTAGTTTTAGCAAGCAAAAAAACAAAACAATCTGTTGGTCATCGGTAGAGGCGGCCATTGTAACCGATAGTGAAATCTGAAAAGGGAACGGCGACTCAGTCCTACAAACAACACACCGAGACATTATTAAAAGTCTGTAAATGTAAAGTGATTGTGTATAGAAAATGAAAGTACATGCCCAGGAACTCGAGGAGAAAGAGCAAAAAAAGAGAAGGAAAAAACCATCAGTCTTGATTTGTCGCTTTCCTGTAATTTTGCCTGTTGGGTAATCTCCGGCAAATCTTGATGTTTCATTTTACTGCGAGTGTAGGTAATACGTTAAAACACGATTGTTAAAAGTGTTTTGCCGGACGGAAGACATCCGTCCCGTTTTATATAATAGTTTATATTCCTCCTATGCTTGGGTGTGGGTTATAATTGAAATTTATTTCTGGTTTACTTGTAACCAAAGTGGAAAATTTTGTTAGCATTTTCGTTCTGCTATATATAGGAATGCTTAAAAGAGATTCATTTATTATTGTAACACGAGTTATGCGTTACTAACGAAGAGCTAAATATGCACTTTTAAATTTAGGTAACTTTATTCAGCTGGTTTTTTAAATTTACAGAAACGCTTATTTGTTACAACAAAAGCATCGTATCTTTGACATTTAATAGGTATTAACGTTCTAAGTTTTTGATGCGCCTTAATTGGCAAAATTTTAATATTAAATTAAAAATTTAAAAATAGCAAACAGCCAAGCCAGGTGTTGCCAAGTCAATGCTGCTACCTGAACTAACAGACCCTTAAATTGTATTTGTTACTAGAATGTCAGCATTTGGGTGGCAATAAAATTTCAGATAGCGTCCCCACTGAATAAATATTAATATAAAATCGAATTATCTAGCGCACGTAAAATCAACTAACTAAAAACTAAAAAGCTAAACTTCATTTGGTATTATTTTATTTGTTTTTTGGTTCAACAATATTAAATATTTTCTTTCTTTAAATTTAAAGGAAAGCATTGGATTAAATTGTCCCGTCTACTCCATCGAAGTAGTTTGATTCATATTATTTCGACAGATAAAGGCAATTTTTCATGACATGTGGCGAAGGATTCGCAATTCAAAAAATTTTAGTTTTGAAATGATTAATTTTTCTCTTTATTTTAAATTTAATTTTCAACAATATTATATTAGTAAAAAATTGTTTATTTTTCACAGAAACTTCTGGCTTCCTCCTTCTTCGTTGTTTAAGTTAAGCTCTGAAGAAGCCAACACTTTGATTGGCGAAACGACAGGCAACCGACGCAGGGGGAGTCCAGAATATTTGTAAAGAGCAAAATTTTGTTTGTTGTTCTTTTTACGTAAGCAAAGTACAACAGAAATCATGTCTTGCAAAATTATATATAAAAAAATTTCTACTATGATGTAGATTTATAATTATTCCCAAATTAAAGACTTTCTAATAAAAGAAAAATACAAGAAATCGATAAAATACAAGTCGAAATGCAATTTTGTCTAAAAATGAAATTTTTAACAACAAATATTAACTAAAATCCTTTTTCATACAATAATAAAATTTGCCTTATGAGAATATCAAAACATAGTAAAATAACTGCTTTATCATCGGCAGAGATAGTTTTTCTTCTAAAAAAGAAATATTGAAGTATTGAAGAAAATTGTAAGTATATACTTAGGCTATGGTAAGGCACTCAATACATATAATTGAATAATCTTGTTCGTTTTCTTTTTCGATGAATTAATTTCTATCGCCGATCGCAGATTTCTTTGCTACAGGAAACATTGTGAACAAGGCGTGGCAGATCTATATCGAAGAAAGTGAAAATTGTACTAGATTTTCGCGACGATGGACAAACCGTGTTTTAAACCGCAACACGTTTTATCCGTTACACTAACTCTGTAAGTTAAACGTTTACAAGAGCGTGTGGAGGTTGATTTGTTACTAAGGGCGAAAAACAAAGAATGTGATTTTAAAGTACTGCATAGCTGTATTATTTACTGATTTAATATTAAACATTTTGTATAATTGGGCCGTTGGTTACGCCAGGAGCTAGAAAATACTGAACCTGACAAGAAGAAGGACTTCAATAAGTTTTATTTGTTTATGGTGTTTTTTGTAAATGTGGCTTTCATAGTTTCGCAAATAATTTTAGTTTTCTACACGAAACCATCAGAAAACACCTTTATAAGTAACAATTTCCGTTAAATATTAGTCGCGGTATGATAATCATATCTGATACTATAGAAGGAGTCGTAATTTTGCAATAATTACTCCAATTAAAATTCTATACTTTTTAATCGCGATAAATTCTTCGCCAGTAATAATTACAGCTTTCTCCAATAAGAACGTATTGCAACAATTCGTTTTTCGGGTTTTTTGCTCATAATATTTGCGATATCTTCGGAATATCCTGCAATTCAAAACTTATTAACAAGGAGCTTATTTTACCTATCTGTTGAATTATTTGTAGTAGTGAAACAATAGCGGTTGGTGGCTCTTTTGGTGATTTGGAGCAAGCCATGGGCTCTACTAATTTTAAGAAATTGATTAAAATCTTGTAAATTTGTTAAAGGACATACCTTCATTGAAAATCAGTGTTAAGATGTGATATACTTTTTGGACGCATTTTTGGCAATTGTAATGCGCCTTTACTATTTACAAATTTTATGAATTCGTCGTGCCTCGGTGTGGAAGTTTCTTCGAATAAAATGTAATATGTTTTTATAAATTTTTATTTTATTATTGACATTACATTTAGGCTTATTTCATAAAAAGTTTTGACAATCAAACTAATGCTTTATGGAATTTTGAAAAATGGAAAAATTGTCAACCATGAATTTTGCTGTAACTTCACTGGGAGTTCATTTGCAGTGTGCAAACCTTATTTTCTTGAATGAAACATTTTTTTCTACTGCCTTCTTTAAAATGCCAAATTATACCAAGGCCAGCATGCGGGACCGGTCACTTTATCGGGAGCAATTGGATGTATTTTACCGCACGGCTTAAATTTTGACGTTGGTCAATTCTGACTGTCATGCCAGTGAATGTATTCATGTTGTTTTGCAAAAATGTACCAAAAAAAATAAAGGTCGTAAAAAAGGTTTAGTATGCAACACGTTTGGTAAACTTTTCACTCGTACGCTCCGCTCGTGCCAAACAAACACGTTACTCAAATGCCGTTTTTACATAAAGATCTAGCATGCGGGAAGCGTCACTTTTCCACGTCAGTTTCGTTTCCCAGGTACCCGAGCCACTTCGGGGATTTTATCGGGATTAGGGAGCAAGGTTTGAATTTTAACGTTTGTCAATTTTGACGGTCACGTCAGTGAATGTATTTGTGTTGTTTTGCGAAAATGTACCCTAAAACTAAAGATTGTAGAAAAAGGATAGTATGTAACACCTTCGGTAAACTTTTTAGTCACTCGTTTATTAAACACTCGCTCCGCTCGTGACAAATAAACTCGTGAGTCAAATGCCGTTTACCGCATTTATTGCATAATATGCTATTACCGCACTTGTTCCATACTATAAAAAACGCGCAATACATATGGAGAATTTGATAAATTATAACAAATTATAAAATATAAAATATAAACAAATTTGGTCATTTTCTAGTGCCAGATTTGCTTTTTTTAATAGGTCTGTGGTTATTTGTAAAGATGGGGAAAAACAAAATTATGTTTGTACAAATACCTGTGGAAATATACAAGAACAGATTAACTTAAAATTACAAAAACTGGGTGTTAATTTATTTAAAACAGGAAATATATGCATTTAAATAGAATATACAACAAAACTAAACCGGTCATAGAAATAAGCGTTGTAAAAACCGTATACGCACATTCGAGTGGTTCGTTTTGAGATCTTTACGACCGGCAATGACCCGGCACTAATACGGAACAGAAAATTGCAATAAACATACCCGTAGAAATCATAACGCTGACCGTACTATTACGAGAAACCGTTCCGTTTACCGCTCCCTACAATAAGATAAATCATATCACTTTTCCTTTCGTGTTAATGGCTATCGGTGGCAAGCACGATAGTATTTTAAAAAAATAGTCAAATATTAATAGAATTATTCCTTTTTATGTCCTAATCTGAAACACCCAAATACTTTAAGGAAGGATTTCAGACCGATCGGATGTTTTCGGTAGAATTTAAAGGATTGTGGTATTTTGACGTTTGTCCTTTCT